GTGTCCTTTGTCCGAACGGGAGCAGGAGGAAACCAGCAGGTCGGATCCAGACGTGGGTTCCGCACACAACACGGTCTAGAATAGCGTTGCGGTGGGGTGTCCAGGGAGCCCGAAAGTGGCTGGTGATGGAAGTCCTCGTCTCCGACAGCGGGAATGTATGCTGTCCTTGTGGATGTACAGGCCCGACGTGGTGGCGGGTATAGGCCGTGTAAGAGACACGTACCGAAAAGGGAAGGTTGTTATAGTGATTACAAGGGAGAACCAAGAGGCAGTCTGTGGGTCCGCGCTTCGGTTTTGTTGTGGTCAAAGGGGGCGCGTCCGTGGCGTCATCCTTGTGCGCCTCCCTGGACATCCTTCACAACAGACATGTTATAATGGAAAAACGCAGGATTAATACAGACATTCATAACACATGTACAGGCACACACCGCATTTATATTACTTGACAATGATACACACGTGTAGGGCACAGTACAGATTATTAGAATAATGAATCCAGGAGAGCTGGTTTAAAATGTCCGTCCCGGGTGTGATAGTGTTCAGTGTACACTGGGGGGCGCCAGAACGCCGTGGGTGAGTCGTTGATTGTCCAGGGACAGGAATGTCCCGGGAGTGAGAGCAGAGTTGTGATCTTTGATCTCTAGCGGGCAGAAAGGTACAAAGATGTTTATTCTGGGGCTCAGTTTATTGCCCTGGTGGACACTTATGGTCTCGGTGACCGATGATGTCCTCTGGTTGACCTGGTCGTCCCTTAGATGTGGCTCAAGATGGGTCATGCTCAGGAGGGCATGTTTATGTATCCTGGTCTGCTGGTCAATGTTCGACTGGGCGTCCTTTAATTCACCTTACATACCCCCCCCCCACGGCAGAGATGCACCTTCCGACAAGGTGCATGTCATGTCGGATATGCCGGGCGGGTATCCTCAGTCGGTCGTCTCGCCTGTTCGGGTGTTAGTGCGTGATTTGTGGTGACATGCTACAACATTCTCGCCTTAATGTGACTCAGTAATTCGCAAGCGCCTAACTGGGGCCAGGCTCGTGGCGGTTGGGTCTCGGGCCTCTGGCTTGGTTTGTTGAGGCCGGGTTTTCTCTAAGGCGAGTCCTGGCCCTGCAGGCTAGTTCTAACCAGGATCAGGGGTTTCAGGGAGTGAGCTACGGCCGTGAACTCTAGGGTTTGGGCCGGTGCGCCTGGCTCCTGGGTCTCTTGGCCTGGAAGGCTCAAAGTTCCAAGCCAAGAGATTAGCAGGAGTTTCTATTTTTAGGGGACTAGGATACAAAAATATGAAACTTCAAAAATCAAAAAGGGTGGCTGTCTTGGCAGCGGGTAGGAGAGTCATTAAGGCACTCGATGGCGAGGGGTTCCCATCTTGCTCGTTCTAAAAGGGGAGTATAAGGGTTACAAGAATATATGACGTAGCAAGTGGGGCTTTTAATTACGAGGGGAATTTCCTGTATATAACTGGGGGTGCCGGGTACGATTGTCCGCGGACTGATTGGGTAACGAGGTAGATATGTCTTGGCTCTGAGCTGGTGACTCTTAGTGGGGTTTTTTAGGCCCTTGGTTCACCTTCTGTGATAGAAAGAGTGACCGTCTCGAGTGGGTGACTTTGGAGGTCCTCGTACTCTGATTCGTTGACTTGGAGGCGCCGACTTAAATTGCCACGCTCGACGGCACTGTCGCCCCGGTTTGGTAGTCTACGGATCTGTCTCGTCATGGCCTCCGTGCACCTGTTAAAGCTATCGCGGAGTCGTCTAACCCGTCTATTTAGGACGAAGGCCATGGCTACGGCCAGGCCGTACCCGAGTCCTACCGCGATGGCCATGACTGTATCGGGGGCGGCCCATGAGTAGGCTACTGGTTGGTGGTGGATGGTCGGTCGCTTGGCAATCTCTTGAAGGAGGTTGTCTACGACCGTAACGTCAACGGTTTGCGCCCCCTCGTAGGTGGCTTGGACGAGGGTGGAGGGTTGAAGTTCCAAGGCCCTTTTCTCAAAGAACTCTGGTACCTCGACCTCCGCCTCGTACTGGTTTGGATACAGGTGGTATAATGCCAGGTCGCCCATGTGCAGGATAGCGTCGGCTGATAGGTCGACCCAGAAGGTTTCGTCCGGAAGGTTTACTCGGGACGAGGTGTCATGTTTGTCATAGGTCAGGGTCGCCGTTCTAAGGGGAGTGTTCACTAGCCATCTTGCCCCTACAATCTCTGCTCTAGTTTCGGTTATCTGTTTCCGAGAGGTGACCGTCGCGGGGCACCGACTCCATGGAGTCATGGGCCTCAGGCCGCAGATGCCATCTGTGCTGTCCCTGACGAAAGGTTTGCTGGGGCAGAGGTAATGGATGTCCTTGGTGAGGGTGCACATCCTTAGATTTGGCGTTAGGTACAAATTGGGGTTACTGTCGTAGTAGGCTACTATGTCTGGTGTCTGGACTCTGTCCAGACACCAGACAGACCACACCAGACGTGGGCATTGTCCCTCCAGGTCCCTAGGTTAGTGATCCCTTTTAGTCGGTAGATTTTATCGCCGGGAACTATCGGTAGGGTGACTAGGAAGGCTACCTCGCGGTCCAGAGGATTAACATAGATGGGGACTGCAGCGCCCAGCGTGTACGCTAAGTGGGCTTGCATGGGGGTTACGGCGTCCCGTGTGGCTACGGCTAGGATGTTCTCAACTAACGATAGCGGCACGAGGTATGGCGGGATACGGCCCATGGCTAGGTTTTCGATCGAGGAACTGAGGTGACGTAGCATGTCCTCCATCAGTTGGGTGGTCAGCTGAGTATGGGCGTAGTCTAGTTGGAGAACGTCTAAGAGTTGATTGACCGCAGCGGAGGTGCGTTTAATCGCAACCTCGTGCGTGTTAAGTACTAGCATGGTTCCTTTCAGGGACGTTCCCAAGGTCCCCACGTCGTTCTGTTGTTGGTCAAGTCTGGTTTTGACATCCTCGAGTTCAGAGGCCATTTCTTGTTGGTGGCGTCTGAGGGAGGATAGGCTAATGGCGTTTACCGTGGACATCCCCAGGCTAAAGAGGGTGCCCAGGGCGGACGCCGCGCCGAGGAGAGCCCCAATAAATCGTTTGGGTCTGGGGCGAGGGTCGCTGAGCTCTGTCCTAGTGATCGTGAACTTCTCTAGTTGTGTCAACATGTGTTGTATGTCTGCTTCAGCGTGCTCCACGACCGTCTGGGTCCAGCGTGCGCCTGCCCAATCTTTGAGTGTGACTTTCAAGGGCAGGTTCTTGCGGCAGACTTCACTAGGATTGAGTCTGACGAAGATTCGCTGTGTGTGGAGTCGGACGTCCGTGATGAGGAGTCCGGGTTGTTCTTTTAAAACGATCCCGGAGGCTGGTCCGGTCTCAATAATTTCTGGGGTGCCGAGGCACAGTATGCAGGTCAGCACAAGGAGGAGAGTGGGCCACATGTTCTGCAAAGTGTGAAATAACTGTTAGGGGTTAGGCAGAGAGAGAGAGAGAAATTCGATTAGTGCAGCCGAGAAGAAGGTTAGTGGGTGCTGGGCTGATAGTGTTTGGGGTCACGTGGTGTGTTCCTAACTGGGGTTTGCAGTGTGCCCTGCTCGTCCCATGGGGCTTTGTTTGTGTGGTTTGGTTTGGTTGTGACGGACCCATCTGAGGGTGGGCTCTCTACCTTTTGTGACCTCGATCTGGTGCACTGCGGTTGAGGGTTTGTTTCCCACCCTGTATGGTCCTGACCAGCGGGGTAGCGATTTCCGGCGTAGTCTGGTGGAGCTGGTCCCTACGTGTCCTGGGGAATGTGCCAAGGTGTAATACCATACCTGGTTTTCGACCTGGAGCTCGTTGCGAGACGCCTTTTGATCGTAGTAGGCTCTGCGTCCTTCGGCGCTGTCTCCCAGTTTCTTTTGTGTAAATGCGGACGTCTGTTCCAGGTGGTCCTGCGGGTCGGTCCTGTATTGGTTTGCCCTCAGGAGCCGGGGGAGTTTCACGTTCTCGTCACTCTGGTTTGGGGATACGTACCTTAGTATTTCAGTCACCGTCCGGTCCGTCCTTTCTACCTGTTGTAGTGCCTGACGTGTGTTGTTTATACCTCTGTGTTCCGCGGTAGGTGCGTCATGGGCGTGTGCCAACATTTACCCCCCTCATGCTTCGAGGCACCACGAGTACCGACGAAGTGAGTGTATCGGAAGCAGAACGTAACAGCCCATGGCGTATCGGCGGTTCGTCTTTATCACGGCCGGAGATTCCGAGCGTTGTGTTGATCGTGACGTCGAAGGGGCGTTCTAGTGTGGGGTCCGTATGTCGGGGGGAGGCTAAGTCCGACCTGTCGAGGTCGGGGGTCGTGCGCGTGGGCGCGGCGTTCGCGCAGGTTGTGGGCGTCCGTTGACCGGTTTCGGTTTGTGCCGTTGTGGGCCGTTCGCGGGTGGCGCGTCTATGAAGTAGCAGTGGTTCTCGCCCAACGGGCGCGGAATGGGCAAGGGCTCCCGGACCTGTGCCCAGATCTTCAGACGTTGGAAGTCTATTAGGTGCTTAAACCGATTTAGTCAAAATAGACTAAAAGGAAAGTAAACTGAAATAAAAGTGCAAGATCATTAAAGTGCTCTGTTCAAACTGATAACAGCGTGTGGGAAGAGGCTGTTAGCATATCGTGATTTGAGAATCAATGCTGAATGCGTTTTTTGTTTATAAACAAATCTAAGTTCCTTTAAAATCAAACTTAGTTTTTCATAATGAAACTTAAGTTTTGTTTGTTATCAAACTCAGCTTTTTTTTTTTTTTAAATGAAACTCTGTTTCTTATAATGGAACGTAGCTTCATGTTTTGTTGTTTAAAGGAAAACTAAATTGTATAGCTGAGCATTGGCGGCTTTATTTGTTTTGTAAATAGGGATAGGCGCATATTATATTCCATTTCAGAGGTAATGTGTATACATTTTCTATTTTCATGGAATCTCTAAATAAATCAAATCTGAATGTACCTTTAAGGTTGCATTAGTATAATCAGATTCACATATCCCTTTGTTCTGTCCTGTAGGTCCTGCGCCCGTACACCTTCATCTCCAACCTCCACGTGTGGGACTACTACACAGAGGAGACTCTGTCCGAGGGCCCTCCGTATGACTGGGAGCTGAAGCCTCACCCGCCGGAGCGCATCCCGGAGGAGAGTCCGGAGAAGGTAGAGTCCATGCCCACATCTCAGCGGCGTGTGGTTTGGCCCTGTTATCATGCCCGCGCCAAGACCCTGCCTGATGCCATCAGCAAGCTGCTCCATGAACTGCAGAGCCTAGAGGCCGAGCTCGGAGCCACCCCTGACAAGTGGAGGGACACCTGGGACAAGCTGAAGAGCCAGCAGAGGCACGAGACCCGACAGGAGAACAAGGTACATGAATACAGTGGAACAAGGCCAGGCTGGAGTGCAAGCAGAGGCACAAGGGCCTGTGGGAAGGCAAGGTACCATCCAAAACATGCTCCATTGGTAAAATGATAAATCCTCTGGCTTAAAGTCCTTAAGAGCATCTCATGATGGGGCCCTGGGAAGGGACAGAGGTCCTACAGAGACAATAAAGTAGACCTTAATAATAACCTCAGGAGAGAGACTTTTAGCAGGACTGCAGAAGATTCAACATTTAAAGGAGCTATACCCGTTTCTGCAAGGTTTGAATGTTTAGCACCGCCCCTCAACTCGCTCACAGGTCTCTCATTTCCCCTACACTCTCATTCCACGGAGCCATCTAGTTTTATTTGCGATATGATACATCTGCAAACATTAGCATTAGCGCAACTTCTTGTAAGCCGTACAACAATCACTGATGAAATGGTACAAAAGCAACGCACTGGTAACAAAATACATAACTGAAAGATTATCGCTAGTTTCGTGTCCGAATGTAGTCCGACCATAGATAGTCCGAGGCGGTCCCGCTCCCGCAGGTCTCTCCAGAGGATACGATGTAAGCTAGCTATGTTCACCCGGGCTTGATTTCTTCTTTGATAATTTTTTCGCTTTAGTTCTCTCTTCTCTTCCTCACTGTTGTCGTTTGGGCTGTTTTACTGTGTATGCAGTTACAGGAAGAGGAGTTATAGCCTATTTTGCTAACAAGCTACTGTGTTTACCAGCGCTGTAGAGGCTAGAGGACACGGCTTGTTCGCTCCTCGTTCTGTGATTGGAGGAGAGCGGGCGTCACGCTAAGTCTCTACTCAGCACTTTTTACGGCCTGAATTCATACACAAGCTGAATCAATGAGCTCAAGTTTTCAAGTAAATTACGAATTATAATACAACTTGTAATTAGCATTTTTATTAACTCATTTTAAAAAAAAAATGCGTATAGCTTCTTTAAAATAAAAAAAAATCCTGAATGGTTAGGCCTCAGACTGCCACATAAAAAAGTCTGCGTTCAGTAGGTTCACACTTAAGCTTGTTGTTCACTGCTGTGTTTCAGCCGTCCTTCTCCAGCTCCCTCCTCATGGCCTCCAACCCGGGGCACCAGCGGCGCTCCCAGCCAGTTTACCTACAGGATAGCCCCTCGTCTCTGGGCCTGGACTGTCAGGCCTCAGCCACCTCCACCCCTGTCCCAGGCCGCCAGAGCAGCAGCACCCTGTACAGCCAGTTCCAGAGCAGCGAGAGTGAGAACAGGTCAGAAGCAGACACGCACACACACAAGCACAGACAAAAAGACTCACAAGTTTCCATAAAGGCCCATTGCACATTTTATTGTGATATTTTTAACTGAAAGTTCTCACACAAGTAACAGTGAAGTGTAAGCAAGTCTCACAGATACTTATCACAGATGCAACACGAGGTCCATGGATACTCTGGAGGAGCTGCAGACATCACAGCTCACCTGGGGGAATCTGTACATGAGGCAAATATTATTCATTAGGACAAGATCAGCAGCACATGCCCACAGGGCTAGCAAGAGAAGCGTTGCCGCCTCCTCAGAGCGCACACACACACACCACACACTCTTATTAGCACAAACCAAAAAGAAAACCGTTTTTTGACTTTTGCGACAACCCTGTGATTTGCATGTGTTCTGGATTCTCAGGAGTTTTGAGGGAATCCTGTACAAGAAAGGTGCTCTTCTGAAGCCGTGGAAGCCGCGCTGGTTCGTCCTGGACAAAACCAAGCACCAGGTCAGAGCAGGACCAAAAGTGCAGCCCTGGGGTCGAAGGGCATGTGTAACTGTGTGTTTGTATGTGTGTTTAAGCTGCGGTACTACGACACGCGTCAAGACAAGGAGTGCAAAGGCGTGATCGAGCTGGCTGAGGTGGAGACTGTAATCATGGCCACGCCTACCATGGGAGCGCCCAAGAACGTGGAGGAGAAGGCCTTCTTTGACGTGAGTGTGAGGGACGGGTCTTTATACTCACATTCAGGGCTGAAGAGCCCTGTTCTTGAGAGTGAGGACACAGAGGATTGTGAAGGAAGAGAGGAGGCTGAGGAGAGACAGAGAGGAGGCTGAGGAGAGACAGAGAGGAGGCTGAGGAGAGACGGAGAGGAGGCTGAGGAGAGACAGAGAGGAGGCTGAGGAGGGACTCTCTGATCTTGTCAGATCCTCTCTGACCATGTCTTCTGTGTTTCAGCTGAAGACCACAAGGCGCGTCTATAACTTCTGTGCACAGGACACTTTCCATGCGGCTCAGTGGACTGAGAACATTCAGAACTGTCTGTCGGACGCATAAACTCTTCTAAGAGTCTTTATATACGACAAAAAATGTGGCAAGGAAGGCTTGCAGCATGCTGCCTTTTGTCCACAGCCTTTAAGTTTTGGGGAGCGGTGGAAATGACGGCAGGACTGCGGAGAGGAGTTGACGGACCAAGCGTGGCACCCAGGGGTCCCGGGTTTCTGAAGCTGGTGGAAGGAGCAAATGTGAATCAATGGAGTTTCAGCTGCGACGCACCACTGTCAGCCCAAAGCCTCATATAGTGACTCACATGGCTCTTACAAGTATGCAATAGTTCTCTTTATTTGATGAAAACATGGGTTTACTAATTTCCATAGTAAACTTCCATAACTAAAATTCAAACTGGGATTAAAATGGATCTAAATAGTGGTCCAAAGCAAGTCTGAACCACTTGCTTTTTCACAGAAAAGACTTATTTTGGACTGATGCAAGATTTAATTAAATAACCAGGACAGATATGTCCATGAACACAATCCACTATCACAAGAGGTGTGAAGCTTTACATGCAAAAAAGAACACAATTTAAAACAGGTTAAAACCAATTATGAAACTGTTCTGTTCACCTCTGCCCCCTAACTCCCTCTGCTCCTGAAACCCCAGGCAGCGCAGGCCAGCGGCTGCAGCAGTGCGTGGAAGCATGAAGGAAACACTGTGAAATTACTTTTCAAACATGTTCGACAGTTTACAAGACTACTAGGGGTGCCACAGTGCTGGTCCCAGGCTTTGTATGTGGCGGCTGAGGGACACTGAACAGATGAGCTGCCACATACAAAAGCCCTGCTTTTCACCTGGAGAGGAGAGATTTGAACTGGTGCATTCTGGGAGAGTTTTCAGTGTTTTTAATGTATTTTTTTTATTTTGTAACAAAAAACTGGACTTTTAGTTGTCAATGCAGGAGTTTTATGTGACACACCTTTTGCAAAACTGCCAACGCTCGTGTGTTTTGTATGCCACTTAACCCTTGTGCTATCCTCAGGTCAAATTAACGTGCAAGTGATTAAAAATAACCCAATATTTTTGTTTTCAGATATTCATTTTGATGACTTTTCCTAACTTGATCTGCCCTGCGTCATGTGGACCCTTTTAGAGCCTATCTATGGCCATTTTTCTTTTACTTGTTGTGGCAGGTCATTTTGACCCAAGGGTATCACAAGGGTTAAACCTTGATCAAGCAGCGGGAATAGTCACGTTTTCAGAAAATCTAGTCTTTTTAGGTTCTGAGGGAAGACTGAGTATTTAGAATTGTCACAAACACCTGTCTGCAAACGCTTGACTTCCAGTTCTACTGCATCAATCCAGACTGAACCACTGGCTCTTCTGCTCCTGAAAAGTTGTAAGATAGTTTTCTGGTTTTGTAATTTAGTTTTGTCCTATTAACCCTTTTGTACATAAACCCCTAAGATTTGTATCGTAATAGTAGTAATTTATTTAACTGTTCCCAAATCCCCAAAGTTTCCCAGACACCACTTTAGTCATTCAATGTGCCATTTTTTTGTGTTCTGTATTAATGTGACTGTTTTTTGTAAATCCTTTATTTTTTGTTAACATGTTGGTCCTTGCATATTGTAGTAATGAAATTACTAAAGTAATTACTCAAGTTGTCAATTTGTTATATTTTGTGTTCACTTCAGTCTAATCTGAATCTTAGGTTATCATGAAATTCAAACTGAGGATTTGCCCCATTTGAATTTATAAGTATGTTACTTTTATCTGGAGAATTTTCAAACATCAATGTCAAAGTAAATCTTACCCGCACAGTTTTTCGGGTTGACATTTTCTGAAATTGAAACCAAAGTTTGAGAATGTAGAGAACTTCACATGTCACTTCCCTTTTTTTATTTTTAGAGTTGACTTTGAGCCAGGTTTCTGTCAATCATGTCCATAGTTTTAGCCTCCAATAAATCAATGGGTCTAAACATCACTAGTGTGTTTGCCTTTTCACTGTTTGTCATTCATTCATTCTTATGAGGGGTGTGGATGAAGTTGTTATTGCTAATTTTTCCTTTGCAAGCAAATCGCATAAACAAAATTTGCGTAAACCATAGGAAAACGTGGCCAGTCCATAGCTGATCCTCCAGCAGGAGGTGGGTCCACAGGAACCGGGGACAACTGTCTTGCCCAAGGACACAACAGTGGACAAGGTCTTGTGGAGTGATCAAACCCATGACCTTGGGGATTAGCAGAACTCTGCTATATTTGGGCCTCGTCTGATCCTCCGGGTTCTGCGCAGTGGACAAACTCCCATGATTCGTTGCACCAAATATGTGTGTGTGTGGGTCTCACATGGGCTCTCATGTACGCGCACTTTTTTTGGGGGGACTTTTTTCTGGGTAGCCCACGGGATTTTAGTTAGCAGTACCATGGGCGCCCCCTGTGCTCATGGGTGGGACAGCTGTAAGCTAGTTATACCCTATATCCAGTTATTATAGATCCATGATCACAACCAAGCCCCAATTATGAGCCAGGCTCCACCCCTCTGTTGCAGGGAGTTACATTATTTTACCACCGCAAACATCACAAAAGTTTGCCTTAGGGCTGCCACTGCTCATAAGAAATAAATTTACCAATAGTTAAATCATTCCCAAACAAACCCTTGTTTTCCACAAAAGACACACACTTAGGTCCATTATTTGGTATTTATATGGTCACACTTTTTCATTTGCATTTTTTTTAAGGGCAATCACAAGCTGACAGCTGGCCTGTCCATTGGTTTAAGTACAAGAAGTCCATCTTCCCCACTTCCTCTGAGTGCAATTTCATAACGAGCTCAAAAAAAGAACTGTCCATGGCCCTTTGCCCACTGAAGTGCTTAGTGGAGAGAGAAGACCAAACATCCTTTCTAAATGTGTTTTATAGGTAGATAAGTCTAGTTTTGATTTGAAAATTAAATTTTCCCAAGAGCTAGGTTACATGCACAAAAAGTTTTCAAATCAGTGTTCAAAGCTGAACTCTATGCTGAAGGAAAGTCCCAGTGCGGCATTTCTCACAAAACTCACTTCTAGCAAGAAAGTCCTGGGTCCTCGCCTGAATCCTTACTTACTTAGTGTTCTCCATGTCTGCATAGGCATCTTCCAGTCGTACATGTTTTTAGTGGTAGTGCAAACCAGAGAAATAGGTCAAATCCTCCAGAGCTGTACTACAGTGACCATTGCTCTTGATTGGTGTCCTAGAGGCATAATGGGTCAAATGCAGAGGACACATTTCCCTAATAAGACAACAGTATAAATTCACTAAGTGTTTCAATTTTAAAATACTTAGACTCATGTGTCCCACAGAGATGTCTTAAAACAACTTTGGCAGACTGAATAGTTGCAAGGCTGTAAGACCCCTTGTCACACGTTATACATAGAGACAAGTCACTGCGGAGTGCACAAGTCCACAGAACGACTCCGCTCAGGTTTATGACGATAGCTGCTGTGGCCAGATGCAATAAAGATGAAGGATCTGCTCTTTTTTAAATGGTTTGTCAATAGTCAACCAATAATTTAAAAAAAAGGTAATTGAACTCAGTAGTGCTGAAAACCATATGATTTTAGTCACTACCGTCAGCAAAAAAATGTACACTAACAACCCTATGCATTAAAATTCAACATTTTGTTTTAGAAATATGCATTACCTGTTTTTGATCACATTTTCAGGATCAGCAAACCACTACCATCTAGTGATGGAAGTGAAAAGTTACATTGTGAATACTTGATAAATTTAACAAAAGGCTTTACAATCGTAGGCATTTCTCTTCTCACTCCACAGTGAGGGAGCCAGTACCCAGGGTCGCATGCCAGACCTATTGTACTTGTTTTAGTGGTAGGATAAATCCGAACACCCGGAGGAAACCTTTGCATACACAGGGAGAACATCAAGACAAAGGCCTGAATATTGAATTGAACCCAGGACCTTCTTGATGTGAAGCACAAGTGCAAACCACTGCAAATTCAGATTTAAATACAACATTGCAGCACCTAATCGAACCCAGTTTGAATAAACGCAACGGCAAAACGTTCATGATGTCATAGTGTAACGTGTTTGAAAACAGCATTTAGACGGGGGGAAAAAAGGCACATGTCCTTTCAATGCCGCACTGTGGGACGTCCCAGGTAAAGTCTGCACCCTCTGTACTCCTCCATTGTACACAGTGCAGCTTTGAACCCGTCTCCATTCATTTAAGAGAAAATAGAACCAAGGAATTTCACAATGTAAATAAAATAGCTGATCATCATTATTGCACATCGAGTCATTAATACTATTTTGTTGCCGTTTGAGCGTGTGATAAAAATACCCTCCCCCCCTTCTCCCTCCCCAGAAAGCACTTGACCGACCAAAACAAAATAAAACCAGAATGAATGATTTGATTTCAAAATAAAACTGTATTTAACTGTAGACAGCCCAGCATATATGAATTGTGCTAGAAATTCAACAAGTGCATACATTATTTTTTGCGAACCTGTGCTATATTCCATCCATTTGTAAAACTTATCACATTTTTTATCTCTTGTTTGGACAATAAAAAAATAGTAAATGTTGCCACCACCTTGGATTCTGTCGTTTTGCTACATCAAAAAACGCATCAAAGTTTTTTGTAAAATGTGCAATGTCTCAAGAAAAAGAAAGAAAGAAGGCGGCGGTGAGGATTGTTAAAAAACATGACTCCCTGGTCAGCTCGGGGTCAAAGGATGTGAAGACTTTAAAAATATGACACATTATGCCCCACCTCTTTTTTGACACAGTTTTTACCAAATTATACTAATCCATCTGCCCATATTTGTGTTGATGTTGCCTTCTGTTTTGTGAATTGATCCACCATTTGTTTTTCATAATAAAAAGTCCTCTCTCGTGGACGTCTGGGTCAGAATTGGGCAGTGTCCAGTTTGTGTTGGTTGGAGATTGGAGAAAATTGAGCTGATTTGGGGAGGTTCTTTGATTCTGAAGGAGTGTGGAGGATCAAACCGGGCCGTTGACAGAGGCCTCCGCTGGGACAGCTGCAGAGTCCTCTCTGAAGGACACAAAGAGGATGAAACATAAGAAAGATGCAGGTTTATGAGAGGACAACACAAATGGACAGATGTTCAAAAGCACTAGTGATTGTAGACTTAAGCTGTGACGTGCGTTGATGGAGGCGTTCAATAATATCAACCGTATTAGATTAGTCAATCTGACGTATTGACCTGCGTTGGGGAAAAACCAGTGGGGGCAGGTCCCAGCTCAAAAATGTCCAAAATGACGTCCGCTGACATGCTTGCAATACCACCCCGGACCCGGAATAAGAATTTGCCAATGCTAACAAATAGCATCATCTTACCTCTCAAAAAGTCTTTACAGGATGGTCCAAAAGTCGGCTCTTGGCCTAAAGCTACGTTACACGTGTGTGTCTATGCTGAAGGGAGTTAATTTTTTTTGAGACCAGTCTAGTTAAGTAGCTGTGGAATTTGGCAGGCCCCGCTGCCATTTTGAAACTGCCCATAGACGGCGAAAGTGGTGGCACATTAGGCGTGACTATGTCTGTCAAAATGTACAGTCTATGGGAAAAATGCGGTGTTAACGGTCACAGTAGAATGTCAACTCAGGGTGAAGACATATGTTCACAAGCACTGTGTCCCCCATTGTCAGCCTTGGTTTAGCTCATGTTTTGGTTGTTTTCAATATTTTTCAATTGCCGTGTGTCCCTGTGACCACTTTTCTGCTCTCTGATTAGTTTCTGTGCGTGGGTGGAGTGAGAATGTTAAGTGAATCTCATCTCTTGCTTTTGCTGCATGCATCTAGTGCCCACCGCTTCTGCAACAAGTGCATGCCGTGACGTACATGCAATTCCTCGCATGGGAAGACGTCTCCATTGACATTGCATTGAAACTCGCTGCAACGCATGATCCGGTGGGAACATATCTTTAACTCATAAACTGCATAAATATGTTTATTGTAGTGCTCTCTACATATCCTGGTCAATTTGTGACATTTTAGTGCAAATTAGATAAAATCTCACTTTTGAGCCTAAAAACTTCTGTGTGGCACCCTCTCAACCTTTTCACTGCTGCTGAGATAATTCAGTGGCTTAGGTTCAGGTGTGTAACTTTACAATTATCTTAGTGTGTAAACAAGGGTGGATATAAGACTTTCTGGTGTGTAAACTATTGCTTTAAGCAGCAATGACAACTGTTTTTTTTTCGTGTGAGTAGTGAGCTGTCAATCACAGCCCAGACCACGGCCAACTAAGCCCCCCTTCATGTCCCCTGCTCCTCCAGGCAACGCCCTTTTTAGAGAAAATGTTCAAATGTTCATGTGGATGGAGTAAGGCTGGTCACAGGTGTTTAGTCGCTCTTTAAAGGAATAGTTCACCGTTTTTACATACTGACATATGTTCTTACCTTACCTTAGACTAGTTAATACGTACCTGTCTGGTCTTAGTCCGTGCGCTCTGTCATGCAAACGGAGCAAAAACGGGAGCACAAACGCAGCCTCCTCTGTATACTGTGTAGGACCAAAAGGTAGCTCCCGCTAGAAGCTACCAAACTCTTCCAAGTGTTCCCTATTAAATGTATATAGTTACGTGACGTGTTACACTGCAAAGTATAGTAACACAGAAATGTAACAGTCGATTTTCTCAGCGGATAAAACGGGTACTATATTGTGAGGCGTAGTTATCTGAGGAGCGCTACGTCCGCGCACTAACTTCTCTCCGGAGACTTCTCTCTCGCTCACTTCCGTCAGTGCGCGGACGTAGCGCTCCTAACTTCTCTGCGCACTAACTTCTCTCCGGAGACTTCTCTCTCGCTGCTACTGTGTGTACTACAAGTCACGCTGCTTCTATTGACGGAAGTGAGCGAGAGAGAAGTCTCCGGAGAGAAGTTAGTGCGCGGACGTAGCGCTCCTCAGATTACTACGCCTCACAATATAGTACCCGTTTTATCCGCTGAGAAAATCGACTGTTACATTTCTGTGTTACTATACTTTGCAGTGTAACACGTCACGTAACTATATACATTTAATAGGGAACACTTGGAAGAGTTTGGTAGCTTCTAGCGGGAGCTACCTTTTGGTCCTACACAGTATACAGAGGAGGCTGGGTTTGTGCTCCCGTTTTTGCTCCGTTTGCATGACAGAGCGCACGGACTAAGACCAGACAGGTACGTATTAACTAGTCTAAGGTAAGGTAAGAACATATGTCAGTATGTAAAAACGGTGAACTATTCCTTTAAAGCTCCAGCAGGACCTTACCACAATGGAATATAAAGGACTTGGGTAATTCACACAAAAACCAAAAATGTGTCTCTGCTGGAGCCTTCCGTTTGGTTTAGTTACTGCTGGACAAAGTCTGCATTTTGAGAGGAATAATCTAAAGCTTGCATGTGATTTGTATCATGTGTTTGACGTCAAAATCATAATGACATCCAAACACCAAGGGAAGGGTTAGGGGCCCAAACCCTGAGGGTCTGAAGGCCAAATTCCACTATTCCGCAACACCTCAACACCTATTGTCTATGCTACGAGAAAGATGGCACCCTAAAGGCGCGTTCAGACCAAAAGCTTCAAAAAGCTTTTGACGCGCTTCAACTGACGCCGGGTTATTTTTGTCATTTTGGTGCTTGAAGCTTTTGACGCGCCTGACGCCGGTGGGAGGAGCTTCTCTGTTGCCTGTAGTCAGGACAGCGGTGGATTTTCCAGAGAGCAGCGAGCCTTTATTTGTTATATAAAGCCAAATAACGTTGTCGTGTGGCTTCTACAAAACGTGTTCTGGGTTCACCACAGACTTGAGAGGCTGCAGTGTTTGCAGAGTTCCGTCATTTACTCCAGGAGCTGCGTACGGATGAATTTCACTTTCAGCGGTACTTCCGCATGTCACTCGCCCAGTCTGAGTTCCCAAACCCCGGAGCTCGCTTCTCCCTGCCTCTCCCTCGCCTCTCCCCACCTCTCGCTCGCCTCTCTCTCCCCTCTGTCCGCCTGGAGCTGCCTCGCTCTGAACCAGACTCATAGTCAGCTTCTTCTTATAATAAATAAATAACGTTTACTACACAGCATGTGTACAATGATTTTTGTTACTCACTTATTAAGAACGCTACTACTCATTAGTAATATTATTTGTATAACAACACAATAAAACAGCAGCAGCAGATACATGACTTCTCTCCATGACAGAGACAGACCCTCTGCTGCTGCTCCTCATCTCCTGATTGGTTGAAGCCTGTGTCAAAGCTTCAAAAGCTCAGCTTTGCTCAACTTCGGCGTCAAGGGATTCAAGTGGCGCGCGTATTACTCGCAACTTTTGAAGCTTTTGACGCGCGCCAAGTGACGCTGGGCTTCTCGGCTTCACCTGACGCGCTTCACTTTCAATGCAAACCTGACGCTTTTGAAGTCGAAGTTAAGTCTGGTCTGAACGAGCCTTAACAACACTGGTCAGAGCAGGAAGTGGAAAGTTTTTTTTGCAGGCGAATTGCAAATAAATTGGAGGTAGTTAAGAAGATGTGAAAGACTGAGGACGGAAATAAAACTCAAGTGGCCCAGTGGAAAACACGCTAAGTTCCAAATACCTTTAAAGATTGGGAACCAAAAAGCGCAACAGTAGCCAGGCCTACTGCCGATTTCTGAGTAGAGGTTTCAGATGGTACTCACTTCTCCTGCTTCTCTGCTTTGACCGATGTCTCTTCGGAAAAAGACAATTTCTCCAGTGACTCTGAGATCTCCTCACTGCAACACAAACATTTAACACAATAAACAATGCATTTTAATACGTTCATATATTACATTAATGAGAACTTCTAATCAAATGAGTCAAATGAGCTTCAACACTTTAGGGGTCAAAATCATTTAGATTGGAGCCAGATTAAATTAATAGCTGGCAGGGGACACAAAATGTCAAAGCAGTGTTTGTTAAAAGGGAAAGTATAAGTCGCTGAGAGCCCGGTCGTGCTCGTGTTAATGGTCTTTGACGACTAGATCAGCACCACATGTCCATAACACGTGCATTACAGATGAGAAGGGCTTCTAATCTTAGATTCTTGACATTGTTTTTTTTATTCTTTCAATAAACGGTGTGTTAAAAAAGACTGACACAAACACTTCAGCGTGAGTTCGAGCAGGACAAGCGGCGAGCGCAGCGCACAATCAGTGCAAATAAAGACAAATACTGTGCAAGACAAACCCTTCTACAATCCCATGAAAGCCAGTAAGCGCTGTCATCATTCAATATCATTGATTGTCAGAACTTACGCGGAGTTATATGATGCATTCAAGAGCCCTCTAAAGTAGCGGAAATGCGGACTCTTTAATAGTTACTTTGTTTGTTCAAGTCTTGTGCTGTGTTGGGATGTGTCCAAATAGGATAGGATTGCAAGTTTAAAATTATTAGATATAGATAGATAGATAGCTTTTATTACAGACTCGTAGTCCAAAACACAAAAAATAGACAAAACACAACACACTAAAAACAGACAACATAAAACAATTAAAAGTCCCCAAATCTCTTTAGAGGAGGCATCTATACCAGTGTTTCCACAGTGCAGAGGTATAACGAACATCTAAAATCATCATATTTGCACTATTGTCCAGGTGACACATAAACTTGTACATTAGGTTCCTCAAGTTGGCCTGCAGTGAGTTCACTTGACAGGACACAAAAAGTTCAGAAGCGCTGCTCTATCTGGGCCTTTTTAGCAACAGTCTGAAGGCATCGTTGTAGGCCACTTTCAGTCTCTGTAGGCTGGACTTTTTATAGTTCACCCACAGATGAGCGGTGTAAAGCGGGGTGCAGTATGCCCAAAACAAAGCCACTTTTACTGCATTAGAACAGTGTCCAAATTTACGCAACAAAATATTAGCCTGGGCGTACAGCATACGGCACTGTCGATACATATCCTCATCGTCTGACAGACGATCTGTCAGGATATGACCAAGATATTTCACCGTGCTTTCAGTTTTTAGGATGTTTCCAGATAGCTTAAAGTCAGGAAACACCAGGGCTTGGTCCTCTTTGGTTCGACAGGTCATTATGACACTTTTCCTTTCATTATATTTGATATTGTTTTGTTCACCGTACGCCGAACACACATCAAGCAGCTGCTGGAGACCAGCTGAACTCGGACTGAAAATCACCAGGTCATCAGCATACATCAAGTGGTTGACGATGTTATCCCCAGCGACACACCCTGTTCTACACCAGTTTAATTCTTTAGAAAGGTCATTCATACATTGGCTTGACATAGTTTGTGAAACAATTTGGCATGGTTAACACGGTCAAAAGCCTTGGAGGCATCTAAAAAACACATAAAAACAGTGGATTGTCTACTTTTATATTTACTTAACAATTCTTTTAAAGCATAAATACACATGTCAGTGCCATGATGGGCTTTGAAGCCAAATTGATTGTCCGTGGAGCCAATGTAAACACTGAGCCTGCTCACAAGGATTTGCTCAAATGTTTTTGACAGTATATTTGCCAGGGCGATTGGTCTGTAATTATCAGAGTTGCCCACTTTCCCCGTTTTGTCTTTTATCACAGGAACCAACAACACAGACATCATTGAGTCTGGGATAAAACCATGTACAACAAAGGTAGAGAAGCATATGGCCAGAAGAGGGCCCAGCCTCATACTGGCATATTTAAGATGCTCAGCACATATATGATCCATTCCTGTGGATTTATTATTTGATAGCATATTAATAGCTTGTTGTACCTCATGCACTTTAATTGAATCCACAAAGTCAACATTGTTGACAGTGTACGGTTCACTTGAGACACAGTTAAACAGTTTAAAATAATGTTTTCTCCACAGTTCTACAATAGAGTGGGACCCAGTGACTCCATCTACAGTGTGAGGTAGACAGGGTTTGCTATTATTTATACCCTTAACCTGCTTCCAGAAGGCCTTGGTGTCATTATTGATTCACTATTAATACTTTTAACATAGGTGAATATTATTGAGTGAAATCCAGTTGAAACTCGTATGCGGCGGGTTTATCCCTTTCAAACAAGCAAGAAAATTACCAAATAACTTGACAATATGACGCTTTATTGTCATTTCGGTGATTTGTTGAGCTGTATATAATAAAGATTTCGAACTTATGCTCCAGGGGGGGAGCTCTGTAGCGATGAGTCTTTGGCCCGTCCCAATTCTGATGGCACTCGTGTTGTGAGGGCACTCACAAAATATTCTCCCTAAAAAAATAGGACTTGAATCTAGGGGACAATATGCAACTTGACGCAGCCAACATGTTCCACGTCACACACATTATCACGGGGCGACAGTAGCTCAGTTGGTAGAGCATTGGCCTTAAGGCCAGAAGGTCGTGGGTTCAATTCCCACCTCTGCACCTTCTCCATCGACTCCCACTGATGACTGCTGTCGTTGTGTCCTTGGGCAAGACACTTAACCCCACTTTGCCCAAAAGCCCCCACTGAAAGATCAAGGCTATGCTCACACTCAAAGAGCAACCTCCTGTGGACTCACCAACCGGCAGAGGGTCAGTGAGGGGCTGGTGCTATGAGACTTGGGTGGCATCTCTGATTGCCACCCCCCTGACCCAGAAATGGATTAAAGGGTAGAAAATGGATGGATGGATGGATAAAGTATTTACTAAAATGAGACTTTTTAAATTAGCCATAATTAGGTACAGAACTGCTCCACACGCACACACAGAGAGAAATAGACACACACGTACATACACGGCACAGAGACAGACACACACACATATACACACGCGCGCCCACGGACACAGACAGACGAATACAGCCGCAGATCACAAAGCTCCTGCCAATGCAGTCTCTGAACTACATGATGGATCTATAATAACAACATAGATCCACATCTCTGAAGCCTCAGTTAACGGCACACGCTGCGGTCGCTTCGCGAGCGAACAACACTATAAGGCACCAACACATGCTTAGAAAAAGTCCCCTCTGAATGACTCGCACACGCTTCGAAGCTTCCTCACGTTCCGCACAAACTTGCGCCCGGTTGTTTCATTTTGTTTGTGCTACTTCACCAACTACCATAATGCATCATGGGATCACTTGCGCGAGAGGGTGGTTTTGAGGGCCCTCGCCTCGTCTCCCTAAGTATTGGGACACACTACAACCCCTGCGGGCACGCGCAACATCTAGGGCTCTTTAAGGGCCAGGGTGAGAATTGGAATGGGGCTTTGTTTTCAAACCAGTCAGTCCACTCTTGTCTGCTTACCTGTTCTGTTGTGTGCTGCCCTCTGGTGGTGGGCTCTGGGTGTTGCTTTGGGTAGGAGGGTTCTCCTTTGACTGCGAGCCGTCTAAGGAGCTGTGTTTTGGGGATGTGGAGGTCCCCTGTTCCTCTGGCGGCTGCTCTGGCTTGGCTTCAGTCTGAGCGTCGACCGGAGAGCTGCACCGCGGCTCTCCATCGGCGCTGCAGCCATAAACACATTAGTTATCCAAGAAAATGTATGTTGAATGTTTGAAATCCCAGTATTGATCAAAAAATATTCACCTGCTTCTTTAAGTCAGTCTTGAACAATTTCAATTGTAATTTCAAGGACTATTCAGTATGTCTCAAAAGTCAGTTTCAGAAAGTAGTATGACAACATTCCATTCTTTTTATCTAAGTAATGCTGTCAAATTGTATGTGTACATCCAACAGCTCAAAGACTAAATTGAATGAGGTTGATGCCTACCCAGTAAAAGGTTGGAACTCTGTGAAGTTGGCCCAGCCAGAATCTTGACTCTTGTCCCCACTAGAGTCCCACTGAACTGGGCTCTGTGCTGCCGCTGGAACCCCAGAGTCTCCAAATGTGGCCGTCCACCCAGGACCTGAGGAAACATTAAAGTATTGTAAGTAGCACATTTCAACAGGTCAGGTCTACAATTCAGCATTATGTTTCAATATGGGAAACAAAGGGTTTGAGGTATTTCTCCCTAAGGTTTTTTTTTCAAAAATATTGAGTATTCAGTGTGGAGTGAATTAATAATGACATGTGAAGCGTCTTTGAGTGGCCAAAAAAGCGCTATATAAAACCGATGCATTACTATTATTATTATTATTGTGAGCTTAGTGTTAGGGTTAGGTTACTTACTGCCGATAATGACGCACCACGTGACTACTCTGCTATAAACAGTCTGCTTTAATGCCGCCTTTCCACAGAAACGGTACGGTACGGCACAGCAGATGCTAGTAAAATATTTTCAATACTTTGGTGTCCCTTTTGCGTGTAAAAATTTTGCATATTCACCACATACAGAAAGTATTCGGCCCCCTTGTACCTTTCGCCACATTTCAGGCTTCAAATAAAGATATAAAACATTATTTTTTGTCAAGAATCAAAAACAAGTGGGACACAATCGTGAAGTGGAACAAAATTTATTGGATAATTTAAACCAGGGGTGCTCACACTTTTTCAGCATGCGAGCTACTTATAAAAGGATCAAGTCAAAATGATCTACCTACTACAAAAATGCAAATCATATATTTATTTCAAAAAATATTCTTTATACCTACAATGTATGTTTATGTACATGCAAAACCGCATGAGCCAATTTAGCACAACACAATTACCTATGTACATTTTTTGTCATTACCCAAGTTTACTCTGATGACTTGCACTGAATTGAATCGGCCAGGGAGGCATAGTCCGGAAAATTGGTGGTCACTCGCTGACAAGTTTGTCGTGGTTTAGCTTTCCTGCACTGAGCGCGGTTGTTTGCGCATGTGCAGTCACCTAAGTGTCAGTAAAACATTACTGAGTAAAACACAGATGTCATTTTACTGTGGTGCCATGTCCATGTGCCATGCCTGTTTTTTTTTAAATCCAAATATTTCCCCTCCTCAGTTTATAAAATAATTTGCATCCACACATCTGCGTTATCAATCACATTCGTAACATTCCAAACATGTGCGTCTCTTACGTCCTGTCCTGCGTTGGGGAAAAACACAGAAGTGGGCGGAGCTTTGATGCAGACGCCGGTAACGGCACTTTTACAGTCATAGAAGACACTCAGAGTAAAGACGTATGTTTACAAGCACTGACCCCGTCCTCAGTCCTGGTTTAGTCCTGGTTTAGTCCTGGTTTAGTCCTGGTTTGGTTGTTTTCGAGCGTGAGTCCCTGCGATCACTTTGCTGCTCTCTGATGTGGAGGATGTTTGCTGCTGCGAGCATCTCACAGCGAACAGTTTTTAAGGTCGTATGATCCAGGCTTCAGTGATCAGAGGAATTTAGGAGGGTACTTTGGCGTGCGAGAACGCAAAACTCCGGTTATCTCTGTCTACACACAAATGCATTAACGGAGTTTTCAAAAATCTCCACTTTGCCCGGAGTTTTTTGTATATATTCGTTTAGAATGTGTAATTTTTTCATTTATTTAATGCGATCTACCAATACTACCTTTGCGATCGACTGGTAGATCGCGATCGACGTATTGAGCACCCCTGATTTAAACTTTAACAAATAAAAAACTGAAAAGTGGGGCGTGCAATAATATTCGGCCCCCTTGCGCTAATACTTTGTAGCGCCACCTTTTGCTGCAATCACAGCTGCAAGTCGCTTGGGATATGTCTCTCTCAGTTTTGCACATCGAGAGACTGGAATTCTTGCCCATTGTTCCTTGCAAAACAGCTCGAGCTCAGTGAGGTTGGATGGAGAGCGTTTGTGAACAGCAGTCTTCAGCTCTTTCCACAGATTCTCGATTGGATTCAGGTCTGGACTTTGACTTGGCCATTCTAACACCTGGATACGTCTATTTGTGAACCATTCCATTGTAGATTTGGCTTTATGTTTCGGATCATTGTCCTGTTGGAAGATAAATCTCTGTCCCAGTCTCAGGTCTTTTGCAGACTCCAACAGGTTTTCTTCCAGAATGGTCCTGTATTTGGCTCCATCCATCTTCCCATCAATTTTAGCCATCTTCCCTGTCCCTGCTGAAGAAAAGCAGGCCAAAACCATGATGCTGCCACCACCATGTTTGACAGTAGGGATGGTGTGTTCAGGGTGATGAGCTGTGTTGCTTTTACGCCAAACATATCGTTTTGCATTGTGGCCAAAAAGTTTGATTTTGGTTTCATCTGACCAGAGCACCTTCTTCCACATGTTTGGTGTGTCTCCCAGGTGGCTTGTGGCAAACTTTAAACAAGACTTTTTATGGATATCTTTGAGAAATGGCTTTCTTCTTGCCACTCTTCCATAAAGGCCAGATTTGTGCATTGCACGACTGATTGTTGTCCTATGGACAGACTCTCCCACCTCAGCTGTAGTTATCTGCAGTTCATCTGGAGTGATCATGGGCCTCTTGGTTGCATCTCTGATCAGTCTTCTCCTTGTTTGAGATGAAAGTTTGGAGGGACGGCCGGGTCTTGGTAGATTTGCAGTCTGATACTCCTTCCATTTCAATATAATTGCTTGCACAGTGCTCCTTGAGATGTTTAAAGCTTGGGAAATCTTTTTGTATCCAAATCCGGCTTTAAACTTCTCCACAACAGTATCTCGGACCTGCCTGGTGTGTTCCTTTGTCTTCATGGTTCTCTCTGCGCTTTAAACAGAACCCTGAGACTATCAAAGAGCAGGTGCATTTATACGGAGACTTGATTACACACAGGTGCATTCTATTTATCATCATCAGTCATTTAGGACAACATTGGATCATTCAAAGATCCTCACTGAACTTCTGGAGTGAGTTTGCTGCACTGAAAGTAAAGGGGCCGAATAATATTGCACGCCCCACTTTTCAGTTTTTTATTTGTTAAAAAAGTTTAAATTATCCAATAAATTTCATTCCACTTCACGATTGTGTCCCACTTGTTGTTGATTCATGACAAAAAATATTTTTTTAAATATTTTTATGTTTGAAGCCTGAAATGTGGCGAAAGGTTCAAGGGGGCCGAATACTTTTGCAAGGCACTGTATGTAAGGATAGTATAACCACTATTAGGCATAGGTTATGTGCCTCTAGTGTGTGTCACGAATATTCATAATTTGACTCATGTGTGAACTAGAGTCTTCCAGCCACGTAGAAGAGCCACAGGTAACAAAAATGGCTAACAGGCTATCAATAGCAAACCAAAATAAAGTACTGATGGAGGAGCGGGCGCGCGAGCAGCAGCCTTCCCATCACAGAATACACACGTAGCAATAGCTAACCAAAACAAAGTACTGACGGAAGAGCGGGCGTGCGAACAGCAACCTTCACACCAGACAACACACGAGACAGCAAAACACCAATAAATACCCTAAGGACAACGCCACCATTGCGCCCCACGGAGGACGACTCGCAGCTCCGGTGAAGAGGGCTTACAGCGACAGACGTTGACACAAGGTTTAGCATCAAGCAATTGAAACTGCACGCAAGTATAAAAAAGGAAGAGAGTGATGGATGACGCTGGACTTTATTACCGTCATCCAAGGGGTCAGGGTGTGACTCATTAGGTATTACTACTCGAACTGCGCATGTGCAAAGGGAACATTCAGTGCTATGTACCGCCCTCTGGAGCTGTGCATGCGCTTCTCGAGGGCAGTCAAAGCAAACTAAGATGGCAGACATAAAGTCATTGAATTACTTTAAACGTTTAAATACGAACAAATTAAGACACACGTCACTTTTAATACAATTTGAGGCGAGATGTTGATGGTTCCAAGTTGTAATATGTGGATTTATGTGGATGGTCAAAGTTTCGTGTAAAGTTTGATTTAAGTAGTCAACTGCTCCTGTCGAACCACACTGCTACTGTTTTAATAGCAGTAGCTTTCTTGTCGAGTTGAACTGCCACATGTACATCATTTTACTGAGGTAGGCCAATGACGTGTCCTGTGCCGACAGCTATTAACTTACAACTTAGTTATATTTTGTTTGTAATTTCCATTATCGGGATGATAATGGAAATTGGCAGTGGCTTCGTCCGTGGAGTCCTCCCATGAACATTCTTGGCTAGCATTTTACATATAGTAGATGGATGCAGAGATATGGGTCAGAGCTAGCCTGGCCTTAGCCATCCGTACACTCCGCTCAATTATAATTTCCCTGCATGGGTCTGGTCCCTGTGTTTGCGATTACGATCGGTTTAATTCCATCCGACCAATTGGCGAGCGCAGGAGGCGGCTGTTGTAGTTAGTTGTGGGTGACGTCAAGAGTTTGCGCAGGTAGGTTCTAGTTTGGCAATGGCGAAGAATGCAATAGTAAAATATTCCGGTCTGGTTTTATCAAGAAATTGAATCCGGAACAAGAAGAATGTTTAGCAAATTTAATTGCTGGCAAAGATTTGGCGCTACTCCCCACGGGCTCTGTTAGCGGCAAAGGAGATGGCTAGGCTTAATGCTAAAGACTCACTCGGGTGCAATACATACGTCACGGTAAACTCGGATCCAATCGTTTCAATCTGCAAAAGGAGTTAGCCCCTCCCACCTGTTAAAGGAGCTCAATGGAGCCCCTCCAGACCTTATTTCGAAGTGTAATTTGTACAATGATGTGGTACGACCTGGCTAGCTCTGTGCCAATGATTTCTGTAAGTCTTCAGCCGACACTCTAGGCCGTTTTATGAGTACTTCTTTGAAATATTCAAGCAATACTTTGTGGATGTGGGTGTGAGTGCCAAAAAGAAAATTACTTTGCAAGAAAAACAATTTCTCTTAGGTTGTTTTTGCTGTTTTCTAGCATGTAAGATATTGGACATGTATGAGGAAACACAAAAGTTAACACTATTTTGGTTGCTCATCCCCGCGGCTTCTTGATCCACGTTTACCGTAAGTAACAGCATAAAGTGGCAACCCGCTTTTAATGTGCGGACCACTTTACCGCAACGCCAAAATGCCGGGCCACTTTACCTCGGTGAAAAACGCAAGAAATGGATTTTCACCACGGACCCTTCTGAAGGGTCCCGGGTTTTCTATGAAGTAAGAATGAATGTCTCCCAGCAGATCTGTGCCAAGACAGAGTCTGACCAATGTTCGTTGTCATCCCAGGTCTAATATGGGCTTTGAATTTGTTCAGTTCGGTCTCATACTTATTTTTAGTTTGTCTTTATATTATATCTCCTCTGATCTTCTTGCGTTAAAGTGCTTATATACAGTGCTATTTGCCCACCGCGTCTTTTAAAAGTACTCTATCTCTATCCCTACTCTACTCTATCCCTGCTTCAGTATGTGCGGCTCTGTCTTTTTGCCACCCAGCGAGGGGCGCATGCACACGTGGGTGTAAACAAAGATCCTCCTATAGGGGCACTGCACTAGTTAATTATTCCCTAAAATTACCTCTCTATAGAAATGAGGTTGGTGAAAATTACCTGTCTCTGTGTGAGGCGGCTCTGCGCAGTCATTGTCCTCGTCAGACTCCGATCCTTCTGCATCTCGTCCATTTTCTAAACTGCTCCTGTCGCCCTCAGAGGACTGTGATACTCCAAACCTGCAACAGTAACATAGAATGATGTGAAATAAAACACTTACTTTCATCATTAGTCTCTGCTCTTAGTCTGGTCCTGCTCCGCTACGATTCCACACACCGCGCGCCGCAACGACTCCCCGCTTCGCTACGACTCCCCGCACCGCGAGACTTGCCACGCCGCTACGACTTGCCGCAACCCGCTATTCCCCTCCCCCTGACTCCCCGCACCGCAGGCGACATCATTTGCTCCCGTAGCAATAGAACAATGTTTGTGAAATTGTAATGAATATGACCCGTCGGTTTGGCTCCCCATGTAAAGCTTTGGCTCAGTATGTAGGGGGCGCTAAAGAGCCAATGTAATATTTCACACCTTCAGGTTACCCAGGCCCAACGGTAGAACAAACGAGTCAAGTTTAATACAAATCAGACTTTGTTTGTGCAAGCAGCTCCGCTGCTTTATGTCACCATTGTGAATAGCAATAATTAACCCTAATTATTACAATCACTATATACAATATACTAGTGCACATGGTGCACACAATATAAGGTGACAGCAGTAAAGTGACATTATAAAGGGCAGTAAGTGGACTTTAAGGGTATTAAGGAGACTTCTAAAGGGCAGGGGGACAGGTTATGAAGTGTTCAAGAGTCCAACAGCAGAGAGGAAGAAACTGTTCCTATGGTGGGAGGTTTTGGTCCTGATGGACCGTAGTCTCCTGCCTGAGGGGAGTGGTTGGAATAGTCCATGTGCAGGGTGAGAGGGGTCGGCTGTGATACGACCAGCCCGGACTCGAGCAACGTACAGGCTGCGACCGATCACCTTCTCTGCAGCGCGCACGATGTGCTGTAGTCTCTGTTTGTCCCTGACTGTGGCTCCAGCAAACCACACTGTGATGGAGGAGGTGAGGATGGACTCGATGATGGCCGTGTAGAACTGCACCAACATCTGTGCAGGTAACTTTGCTTTCCTGAGCTGCTGCAGGAAGTACATCCTCTGCTGGTCCACCTCCCTCCTGTAGGCGGACTCATCGTTGTCGGAGATGAGTCCAATGAGGGTGGCATCGTCCACGAACTTGATGAACTTCACGGAGTCGTTGCTGGAGGTGCAGTGGTTGGAGTACAGGGAGAAGAGCAGGGGAGAAAGAACACAGCCCTGTGGGGTCCTGTATTTATAATACGAGCGTCCGAGACATTCTTCCCCCGATGCACTCAATGAGCCATATTTGATCAAAAACCTATAAACAAATCTGTCTGGAGAGCAAACATTAAAAAAAAAAACAGCTATTAAGGCTTATATGATGGCATGGCAAGTAAACATTACCTATATTGGCCTACATTCAAAATGACTAAAAATAGGCTGTTTTTTTGCTGATAGTTTTTTTCACTATCGCCTGTCATTTTAATTGCACACGCACACACACACAGTTTACCGGCTCCTGGATTTGGCTTGTGTTGCATAGTTGATCTCCCTGTCCTCCCAGATGTCCTCGTCCTCATCATCAAACTGCCGAATGCGCTCTTTACATGCGGCTTCAAAGGCAGTAGCGTTGGCCTGAGAGTGAGGGGGGCAGAGTGAGTTGTGCCATTCACAAAAAAACACCACCACTTATTGTTCACTCACACTATTGTCATCAGCATCCAGATTAAAGTTGATCTCAGCAATTCTATCAAATGTGGCACTGAAAACATGAAAAGGATTTCAAAAGAGGTACAGGTACAACAAATACACACAGTGTTGTCACAACAGCTCAAACGAAACCTCAAACATTTAAGTGGGTCATTTGCCCTTCTTATGAAGGACTGTGATGATGGCCTCAGACCAAGTGCCTGGGGGGTTTCTTAAATGTAACAACTATTGAGCTTGCAGAGTACTGAGTTGGCTCATTTACAAACCTTTTGTAGTATTCTCCTAAAAAAATGGTAATTAATTAGTTGGCCTAGTTTCCAAATTCGCAATCAATTTCTGATCAATTAACCTGAAGGCTCCTTTCGCCTTGTATGTCGTTAGTCTAGCCATTTAAAAAAATATATATATTGTCTAGTTTCTAGTTTTCTCCATCTTTTATATTCAAGTTTCATCCTTTTAATTTCACTTTCTATTTGTATTTGCAGTAGCAGTCTTTCCTTTAACCCATTCAGGCAAGGAACACAATACCGGTTTTCTTCCTCTAGAGCCAGGAGCGCTGTTGCGTATTTCTACCTTTGAGGCTGAGAAAGCGGACACGTCTGTTTATCTTTTTTAATTAAATGCATCAGGATATACCAGGGCTGAGAATTTCATTTCTGTGAAATGTGGGACCACGGAGCACTTGTTTGCTGTACGTACTCGAACGGGAATCCACATCTTCCATTGCTTTCACACCGCCGACGCTGGAACGCTGAAGCCTCGCTCACCAGACGCACATTTTCTAGTTTTCAGACGTAGGGGACTTCACACCGGAAGTCCTGGCCAGCGGTGGTACGCGCCGGAAGTGGCGGAAGTAGCCGGCGGGCTTTGATACTAACAGAGTTAAGCTAGCAGCAGAGACTTTATATAACATCAGAATGTGGTCACGGAGGTGCGCCATAAGTTAATTTTTTTTATTAAACGATACTTCCGCATCGGCAAACACCCTCGAAGCAGTTGCATAAGGTCACGGGAGCATATGTTCACAAGCACTATGTCCCCCATTGTCAACCCTGGTTTAGTCCTGGTGTAGCTCCTGTTTTGGCTGTTTACGAGTATGTTCAGTCTGCTCACTCAGACCACTAATGTCCCGGTGACCACTTTGCGGCTCTCTGATTAGTCACTGCACGAGCGTCCGAGGAAACGTTCAGAAAATGTATCTTCTGCGTGCGTCGATTTTCTGCTCCTGCACCTCCCCCGCGACTTCATCACCACGCAGTCCGTGCGTCTCTGCTGAGCAGTCCGTGAGTGCATTCCGAGACGCACATGCATTTCGACGCTCAAACGCGCGTCACCATAGATTTTGCATGGAAAGCCAACGCATGATACGGTCTGCTCCGGAGCAACTGCGGGTGCTTTGTAATGAAAGCGGTTCCCGCCTCCAGTGGCCTGTGCGCTGCTTTGACAACAGCTTAGCGAGTGCCGTAACGTGGTCATAATATACCCACCGCGGACCATAGAAATCATCATAGATACCTCTGCTTCTGTTGCATTTTATTATTAATATTGTTACTTTTTTAGAATTGTTTTTAAGGATGGATATGTTTTTGCTGCTACTGGACAACCGAATTTCTTCTACAAGGGATCAATAAAGTATCTATCTATCCATCCATAGATAATTGGATGGATTATCTATGGATGTTAATTTATTGTTCTTAAGAGCCTTGTGAGTCATCATTTGACTTTTTGGGCTGAGAGTGGATTTATAGATCTATAAATCCACTCTCAGCCCAAAAAGTCAAAAAAAGGCAGTAACCGTTAGCTGAGCTGTTGTCAAAGTGGCTCACAGGAACTGCTGTCATTACAAAGCGGCCACAATTGCTCTCGTGGTCAGGATGGACGTTTTGGAATTCCATACGAGTTCGTACAGCAAACGACAGCAAGTGCCCGCGGTCACACATTTCACAGAAATAATATTTTCAGGGGGAAAAAGTCGGAAATCGCGGATCCACAGAAAATTCTCATCCCTTGTATATCCTGATGCATCTGTTTATTTTTTTTGATAAACAGATGTGTCCACTCTAGAGGTCGAAATGCGGAGATGTGGTCCCGGCCTGAATGGGTAAAAGTAATACTGAACGGGCAACTTGCTTAGACAGCACACTTGTCAGTCTCAAATCTTTAGTTGCCTTGTCAATCCCTGAATACAATCAATTCATATTGAAAGCCACAGGTGTCAGCTGTCAAATTCGTTTGGAATTATGTTTCTATCTGCTACAGAGGTTGAGATATCAATAATTTAGTAAACGTAAAATTTTCAGGAAAACTTCAGGTTTTAGGGGGTGGTTCTAAAGTCAGCCATAGGTTTTACAGGTATGTTTCACCAGGCCATTTTTAGGCCTTACTGGGATAATTGAGATTCTATAAAAATATATAAATAATTACCCCTCAAAATGTGGCCTTTGATGCATCCCATAATAATAAAGGTGAACCCGTTCCATAATCAAGAACAAAATACAAATTTACATTGGATTGTATTTCCTCCCTTATAGCTGTGCATACAACTGAGGGATTTTATCTTCACTTTTTTTAATTGGTTATGGTTATTCATGTCTATCATGTTTTGTTCAGCACTTGTGTATGAGTTGTGCTAATCAAATAAACTTGTCTTGCCTTACCTAGCTGGGTCTGTCAACAACAGGGTTCCAATCCCAGATCAAGTGTCATCGCCACCCGCCCATGGTCCAAAATTGGTTCCATTACATACACTTTAAATATGTGAATATCTCTTTCACGAGTAAATCACAATCTAATCTAGAATAACTACTACTTGGGACATAAGTGTTAAACTCATCCAACTTTCATTTAATGAGGTTACACTGCAAAGTGCAAGGACAGGACAAGTTAAAGATCAGCCTCTTGTGCTTTATGCATTATACCATCTATAAAATGGGAGGTCCCAATCCGATCTAGAGATTGGGCTGATATTTCATGGTTTTTGACTGATCTGAGATTGGCTTATCTGCCTGACGACTTGCCCGACCGTTACAGCAGTTGTCGTGGAGTATCAGTTTACGGTAACTCTGTATGCAATATTATAAAGCTCAGTTGAGGTAAAATTTTTGAGGGGTGTTCATGTCGCACTTTTCATGTCAAAAGTGTGGCAGTATTTTTCATTCGAAAACGAAGACGGCACAACATAACATGCGACGTGGTAATTGGAAGAAGTGGGAGCAGCAGAGCAATATTCTACACGACAAATCTGATTCAGAGTTTGAAACAAAGCATACAACGTAGTATTTTGTTGTTGTGACTTGGGGTTACACTACATTACAATTCAGTAGTGATGGGTAGATAAAGCCCCCAAACACACCAAGGCTTTCTTTGCCAGATTATTTAAAATGTGAGCCTCTGAGCTTTCACTAAGTTGCAACGCTGACATCTAGTGGACAAATGTAATCACTGCAGCTTTTGAACACTTGAGTGCACAGAAAACATCACAACACTTTTAATAAGACTAAACAATTTCACCATTAAACATAAATGGTAACGCTTTAAAAAAAAAAAAAACCTGGGATGAGAAAATTCCTAGTTAGGTTAAATGAACTCAATTTTTTTTTTTAGTATTTACAATACCAATGATGAAAAGCATTGGATTGGGACTATAAATCAGATTTAAAGTTTAACAATCGGTTTGGGATCAGAGGCAGTGATTGGGACATCTCGATATAAAAACCATTCATATTTCTTTGTGGAAGAACTTGTTTACAGCGGTTATTGCCATCAAGATGTGACTTAGCAGGTCAGCTACCAATCAATACTTACCCAGCGTTTATTTGAACCCAGTGTTATGATATGAGAAAATCTAAATTATAATGATTGTTTTGTAATTGATTGTGCATTGTTATTACTTTATATTTTCATCATGTTCGCTGAACTCTTCGTCGTTGAAGCCAAACTGATCCACAAAGTTTGCAGTCATTTGCTGGATCTGGTAGTCTGAGAAGGCCTGGAGACAGACATGGTTCAACGGTAAGATTTACTTGCTTTTCACATAATGTCTGTGTGTATACTGGCAATGATAAAACAACTGTGTGACTGTCACACATCTATCAGCGGAAATAACACAGTTCAAGCCCAAAAATCTCGGAAATATTTAAAATTCTGTAACGAGAAGGGGGTCACTTTGTACTGTACTTCAATTTCCTGATATTAGCATGGAAGAAGCTAATAACATTTTGATGAAGAAACAATGTTCAGTTGACTGCAACCAAACCTAAGTGGCATAACAGTTTTTACACCTCCATAATGCAGTAGACTGTCCAGTGTAGGATAGAATGAATTTGAAAATGTATTCCGTTACATAATAGTAACTGTATTCCGAATACTTCATTGCCTTTTATGACTTTCCTCACAAAACAAATATACCCTCTAATGTGAGAAAGTATGTATTCCCACGATTTTCAACTGTATTCTAAATACTATAATCACTGACTTTTTGCTCCCATTTTCCATGAGATGGACTTAAAGATCCAAATTCATTCCAGATACACAATATTAGCATTTCTCTCAAACATTGTTCACACATCTGTCTAAATGTGTGATAGTGAGCCCTTCTGCTTTACTGAGATAATCCATCCCACCTCACAGGTGTGCCACATCAAGATACGGATCTGACGTCATGATTAGTGCACAGGTGTGCCTTAAGACTGTCCACAAAAAAAGGCCACCCTGAAATGTGCAGTTCTGTCTCACAGCAAAATGCCACAGATGCAAGCATTGAGGGAGCTTGCATTTGGCATGCTGACAGCAGGAATGTCAACTAGATCTGTTGCTTGTCATTGAATGTTCATTTCTCCACTATAAGCCGTCTCCAAAAGGCGTTTCAGAGAATATGGCAGTACATCCAACCGGCCTCACAACCGCAGACCACTTGTAACCACGCCAACCTAAGACCTCCACATCCAGCTCTAAGATCGGCTTAGACCAGCCACTGAGACAGCTGCTGAAACAATTGGTTTGCATAACCAAACAATTTCTGCACAAACTGTGAGAAACCGTTTTAGGGAAGCTCAACTGCATTCTCGTCGTCGGTTATGGTATGGGCAGGCATCTGTTATGGTCGAAGAACACAGGTGCATTTTATTGATGGCATTGTTTGAGGACACTGGTTTACTGCTTAACTCCGGCAGCTCAGGAAAGCAAAGGAGTCTGCTTTCAGGGAGCGGGACCGCAGCGGCTACAAAGCAGCTAAATATCAGTTCAGGGACGAACTGAAAGCAGCCAAGTCCCGGCACAGAGAACGACTACAGGACCAGTTTGGTAACAACGATACTGCTTCTGTCTGGAGGGGCCTACGGGAGATCACCAACTACAAGCCCAAAGCCCGCCCCTGTACTGACGACCTCAAGCTAGCTGACGAACTGAAATTTTTTTTCAGTCGCTTTGATGCTGCCCCGGAACCTCCCCCACCCCCCACTACTCTAACGACCCACCCATCAGCCCTGCCCCCAGCCTGACAATAGTCTCTAAAGATATTAAACAACTCTTCTTGAGGCTGCACCCCCGCAAAGCTCCTGGCCCGGACCACGTGTCTCCGGCTACTCTGAGACACTGCGCCAGTGAGCTTACTCCTGTGTTCACTGACATTTTCAACACCACTCTGCAGTCCTGCCATGTTTACTCTGCCTCTATTACTACAGACCTGTAGCACTTACGTCTGTCGTCATGAAGTCATTTGAACGCCTGGTCCTCTCCCACCTCAAGTCCCTCACCTCCCCCCTGCTGGACCCCCTGCAGTTCGCCTACAGAGCCAACAGATCTGTAGACGACGCCATCAACCTGGCCCTCCACTACATCCTACAGCACCTGGACTCCCCAGGGACCTACGCCAGGGTCCTGTTCGTGGACTTCAGCTCTGCCTTCAACACTATCCCTGCTCCAGGACAAGCTCTTCCAGCTCAACGTGCCCGATTCCACCTGCAGGTGGATCACTGACTTCCTGAAAGACAGGAAGCAGCGAATGCGTCTGGGGAAGAATGTCTCGGACTCTCTGATTATAAATATAGGAGACCCACAGGGCTGTGTTCTTTCTCCCCTGCTCTTCTCCCTGTACACCAACCACTGCACCTCCAGCCACGACTCCGTGAAGCTGATCAAGTTCGCGGACGACAACACCCTCATTGGACTCATCTCCAACAACAATGAGTCCGTCTACAGGAGGGAGGTGGACCGGCTGGTGTCCTGGTGCAGTGGTAACAACCTGGAGCTGAACGCCCAGAAGACAGTGGAGATGATTGTGGACTTCAGGAAGAGCACAGTCCCCCCGCCCCCACCCTATGTGATGGACTCCCCCATCACCTCTGTGGAATCCTTCCGTTTCCTGGGCACCACCATCACCCAGGACCTCAAGTGGGAGCCGACCATCAGCTCCCTCATCAAGAAGGCCCAGCAGAGGATGTACTTCCTGCGGCAGCTCAGGAAAGCCAAGCTGCCTGCACAGATGTTGGTGCAGTTCTACACGGCCATCGTCGAGTCCATCCTCACCTCCTCCATTACCGTGTGGTTCGCTGGAGCCACAGTCAGGGACAAACAGAGACTACAGCGCATTGTGCGCTCTGCAGAGGAAGTGATCGGCCGCAGCCTTCCATCGCTGCAGGACCTGTACGTCGCCCGAGCTCGAGGCCGGGCTGGTCGTATCACAGCCAACCCCTCTCACCCTGCACATGGACTATTCCAACCACTACCCTCAGGCAGGAGACTGCGGCCCATCAGGACTAGAACCTCCCGCCACAAGAACAGTTTCTTCCCCTCTGCTGTTGGACTCTTGAACACTTCTTAACCTGTCCCCCCGCCCTTTATAAAGTCACTTTAATGCCCATCATACGTCACCTTACTTCACTGTACTGCTGCCACCTCACATTGTGTGCACCATGTGCACTTGTATATTGTAAATAGTAACTGTAACTCTATTTTAAATGTAAATTTATTCCCTAGAAGTGTTTTTTATTCTTTTTTTTTATTATCTCTTTCTGACTGATGCACTGAGCCAAAGCAATTTCCAAGTCTGTAACAGACTGGTTCACGCTGTCGAGCAGAATCAATCAGAATCATTTTTATTGCCAATTAAGTAACTTAAGTGGCAATAAAAATTATTCTGATTGCTCATGCTGTCGAGCAGAATCAATCAGAATCAGAATCATTTTTATTGCCACTTACGTTACTTAAGTGGCAATAAATATGATTCTGATCATTTTTATTGCCACTTACGTTACTTAAGTGGCAATAAATATGATTCTGATTGATTCTGCTCGACAGCGTGAACCAGTTCCCACTGGACAAACATTCCACAGGCCACAATTGACAATCTGATAAACTCCAGGCAAAGATGTGTTGCACTGCATCAGGCAAATGATGGTCACACTGGTTCCGAGTCCCCAGACCCACAATAGAGCAAAATAATGCACATTTCAGAGTGGCCTTTTATTGTGGACAGTCTAATGCCACATTCATGCCGCGTTCAGACCGGATCATGCGTTGCGGTGACTTTCAATGCAAAGTCAATGGTGACGTGCGTTCAAGCGTGGAACTGCATGTGCGTCTCGGGATGCACGCATGGACTGCGCGGTAGAGACAGCGCAACAGTCTCTACCGCGAACAATGTTAAAGAGAAATGGTAATATTGTGTATCTGGAATTAATTTTAGGTCTCTAAGTCTATCTAATGGAAAATGGGAGCAAAAACAAAAGTGTTGCGTTTATATTTTTGTTGAGTGTAGATGTTGAAGTAGTAACGTAACCATAGAGAATACAGTTACTCAAAAAGAGTATTCTGAATACATAACAGCATTACATGCATTCTATTACTCCCCAACACTGCTGCCCAGTCATTGTCTCTGCATCCTGACGTGAGGTGTGCAACTATGTTCCGGGCTTTGTGAATTAGAGTGCAGTGCAGAGTTTGTACCTGCTGTAGTGACAAGTCGTTGGGGAAGGGGCTCTCCATATCGTCGTCTTCACTGGACGAGTGCATGTTATGTGTGCTCACCTAAAACATAGTCCATTTATCATTCCACATGTTTAGTTAATTGTGATATTTTTTACCACTTTGCCACAATTGTGTATCTAACACTTGTATACTTGTATGTATGCATACTTGGTCTGAAAGCAAATTGGTAATCCAATCCTAATAATGTGAAGAAGAGGGTTCTTTATTTGTCCCACAGTGGAGAAATTTCAGATTGATGAATACACATAGACATATACATCAAGGCATGCAGCAAACATTTCCTTCCGCTAGGCAAAGTGTCTTGCCCTATTGACAGCACACATCAGTGAGGTCGGTGGAGAAGGTCTTGCGGTGGGCTTGAACCCACGACCTTCAGGCTCAAGACCAATGCTCTACCAACTGAGCCACTATCATAAAGTATGGAAGTATGGCAGCTGCAGATAAAGCAAAGAATATGGATGGTTTAAATATCGACAGAGTCCTCCATCTGTGCAGTAGTGAGGGTACCGCTAATTCAACCAAAAATATTACTTTTAATATAACATTTGCCTACTTAACCCTTCTTGCCTAGCCACACCATATTCCTCGTTGCAGACTTTGCATTTCCTTTCACAGTGAGGTTTGCCTTAAATGACTGAAACACAGAGTAGCTTTTCCAAGGTATTTTATTTATGCCTGAAGACGCAGAGGACTGTCTGCTCTCGTTATTTAAGCAAAAAGAATCTGACCCTGGGAGTGGGCAATCGCACAGGACCTAGAGAGAATCTTTGATGCTGTACCTGAGAAAAGGACACACACATCACACTGCTGCATGTAATGAGGGGTGTGTCCAAATGTCCACCATATTCTCCAACCCAGGGCTCCATACACACAATTAAATTAAATAGTGCATACATTTTTAACCATTGTGCCTCTGGTCCAACTGGACACACCTTATTAAAATGACACTTTCAGTGTTTTGACAGAGTAATACTGAGTATGCTTGAATATAGCAGATTTTGTTTGACACTCTTTGAGAGTGTCTTTCTTTACATAGTCTTGAGCTGTGTTCCCACCGCCGATTCATAAACCGTGCATTGATGGAGGGATGGACGAATGTACACTACATTTCATACACACATGTTGGAATATCTGTGTTTAATTACATTTTTTGTTTTGCCTTAAATTGTTTTAGATAAGAAGCTGCAATGATTACTTTTGCCCACTAAATGTCAGTGTTATAAGCTAATCTGAGCACAGAGGCTTCAAAACATATGAGACAGCCTGGTAATAAAAGCCTCAATGCTTCATATGCCCATAACTAGAAAACGGGAGACTTTTGAATGTTGCATATTCCCTTAAACTGTGTTTACAGGCAAACTATTACTATAACTAGATGAAAGGCTCTGGAGAGGAAAGAGACTACATTTTGATGTGTTTTCTTCTCCGTACTCATTCTTTCTCGTTAGCCAGCCTTTGCCTGGGGTTAAGTGAACATTCTATCGAATCCATTTTATATCACCTTATTGTGCTTTAAGCATAAGGCAATCTCGTACCTCGGTTCAGAGGCCACGGTTCGGTTCATTTTTCGGTTCATTTTTCCAAAAAAAAGTTTTGTCTTTTTAATAAACACAGCTCATGTGGACTCGGCACCTGCTCTGACTGCCACCCCCCCCTGACCTAGAAATGGATAAGGGGAAGGAAATGGATGGATGGATGGAAGGCATATTCCATCCATCCAATTATGTCTATTTAACATAATTAATGAAAAACAACACAAAGTGCAACATAAAAAGGCACTTTATGAGGGTATTTACCCTCATATATTAAACCACCTTCCTGATTCTCCCAAGGAGGCGGTCCATTCTGGGCCCAGTCCAGCCTCATTCACTGCATTTATTTAATTTTTGGCATTATCAATTGTGACTGGAATATTAGTACTGGACCTTTGTCTTCCATTCCTCCGCTGCTTGTGTCAGAACCTGCGCTGTGTGACTGTCGTAGAGGGGGCGTGTCTGCAGCGCCAGACTTCTCATCTCCCAGTCTGCGGTGATGAAGTGAGCGGTTCCGCTCATGGATCTATTATAGGTTCCGCGGGACGTCCAAGCGTCAGTCGTGAGCGCAGCTGAGGATGCGCGGGAGAGTTGACTTTAGCCCGGTCTGACTGTGCGTAAAAGAGCTGCTTAAGCGGTCGTTCAGACGTTTTTTTTCACTCATGTCTTTCTTGTGCCACAGTGCTTACACATCGTGACAGTTTTGTCGAATATTAATTATCAATGTAGTTGCAGTGAAGCCAAAATGCTCTCATACAGGGGATTTAAATGGGTTTTTGTGGTGTGAACCCCAGGAAAACTAGTGACTAGTGTTCAGTTAAAAAAGCCATTTGATCTGCTTTCATCAAGTCATGTTTGGACATGCTGCTTTTCCAGACTCTCAATCAGAAATGTCCAGCACTGGTCACTCCATCAGAAAATGTCGATTTCAATGCATTGTAATATGCACGTGGAAATCATTGATTGCCCTTTTTTCTGGATATTCCCTAAAAATTGTGCTACAGTACAGTCCCCGAGTAGGGAATAGAGTGGACAGTACACATGCTCCGACATTCTTTGAAAATGCAAAGTAAATTCTTACCAGCTCCACCGTGTTTCTTCGGTTAGTTTCTCGGAGAGTCTCATCCACAAAGATCTCCCAGCGCCCCCTGCAGTCTGCTGGCAGCTCTGCCATACAAATTCACACACACACACACACACACACACACACATTAGGGAGCACAGACTGGATAGAAGCGTAGCAAATACGTCTTTTGGCTGCATATCAAGCATGCAAGAAACTTTAGTTATTAGCCAAATGCTTATTTCTGCACCATAATACAAATACATTTTAGAAAAATCATTCAATGTGAGAGGCTCTGTATTGGGTGGTATCTCTGACTGCACACATTTAATCTGTACCTATGATGAAAATAGGTACCCCTTTTTTCTACAGTGGGACAAATACAGTACAAAATCCTTTTTTCCCCACTACACAGGTGTAATATAGTGTAGTATGGAATTACATTCTAATTTATAATGATCACCTAACAAACATGGCATGGTCTAATTGAAGGCATGTCGTCCATTATACCAAAATCTAATTTGGAAAAAACACATGATACGTGCTCTCATTATGATGTAGGGCAGGGGTGGCCAACCCGCGGCTCGTGAGTTGCATGGCTCTTTGGTTGGTTCCGTGCGGCTCTTGGGCTTTCACACGACAAGGGTCAAAAACGCCTCGGTGGTGGCGCTGCCATTCATTCCCTATGTAGTTCTGACCCATAGTAAAGGGCGACTTCACTCCACTATCCGGGCCACCAAAACAATCTGACGTCGGCGAACGTCTATTCTGATTGGTCAGTCACTCTGCAGCTGCTGCCTCAGCTGTTGCAAATATCATAACCAACACGTTGCCTCTATCCATGACGTCCGTACGGAAAACAGTTCCTTGGTCGCTGGATGAGGGCAACACCTTCCTCAGTTTGAGGAGAGGACACCAGCGCGAGTTCGATGGTTCCACCAGAAACCAGAAGGTGTTTGTGGAGCTAGCGCTAAGGACGGAGCAAAATGATTCCCACGAACATCACAATGCAGAGAAAAGTTAAAAAGCTTAAAAGTGACAACCGTGAAATGAAAGATCACAGCAGCAGAAGTAGAGGCAGACCCGAAAAGTCTGGAGGTGGTTTGACCAAATGGATTAAATTTACGGACATCGGCTAACACCGGCTAACACCGACTAACATGCTAAAACCAGCTAACACCAGCTACAGTGCCTTGCGAATGTATTCGGCCCCCTTGAACCTTTCAACATATTTTGCCACATTTCAGGCTTCAAACATAAAGATATAAAAATTAAATTTTGTCAAGAATCAAAAACAAGTGGGACAATCGTGACGTGGAACGAAATTTATTGGATAATTTAAACTTTTTTAACAAATAAAAAACTGAAAAGTGGGGCGTGCAATATTATTCGGCCCCCTTGCGCTTATACTTTGTAGCGCCACCTTTTGCTGCAATTACAGCTGCAAGTCGCTTGGGGTATGTCTCTATCAGTTTTGCACAACGAGAGACTGGAATTCTTGCTCATTCTTCCTTGCAAAACAGCTCGAGCTCAGTGAGGTTGGATGGAGAGCGTTTGTGAACAGCAGTCTTCAGCTCTTTCCACAGATTCTCGATTGGATTCAGGTCTGGACTTTGACTTGGCCATTCTAACACCTGGATACGTCTATTTGTGAACCATTCCATTGTAGATTTGGCTTTATGTTTTGGATCATTGTCCTGTTGGAAGATAAATCTCCGTCCCAGTCTCAGGTCTTTTGCAGACTCCAACAGGTTTTCTTCCAGAATGGTCCTGTATTTGGCTCCATCCATCTTCCCATCAATTTTAGCCATCTTCCCTGTCCCTGCTGAAGAAACAAGGCCCAAACCATGATGCTGCCACCACCATGTTTGACAGTGGGGATGGTGTGTTCAGGGTGATGAGCTGTGTTGCTTTTACGCCAAACATATCGTTTTGCATTGTGGCCAAAAAGTTCGATTTTGGTTTCATCTGACTAGAGCACCTTCTTCCACATGTTTGGTGTGTCTCCCAGGTGGCTTGTGGCAAACTTTAAACGAGACTTTTTATGGATATCTTTGAGAAATGGCTTTCTTCTTGCCACTCTTCCATAAAGGCCAGATTTGTGCAGTGCACGACTGATTGTTGTCCTATGGACAGACTCTCCCACCTCAGCTGTAGTTATCTGCAGTTCATCTGGAGTGATCATGGGCCTCTTGGTTGCATCTCTGATCAGTCTTCTCCTTGTTTGAGATGAAAGTTTGGAGGGACGGCCGGGTCTTGGTAGATTTCCAGTCTGTTACTCCTTCCATTTCAATATAATTGCTTGCACAGTGCTCCTTGAGATGTTTAAAGCTTGGGAAATCTTTTTGTATCCAAATCCGGCTTTAAACTTCTCCACAACAGTATCTCGGACCTGCCTGGTGTGTTCCTTTGTCTTCATGGTTCTCTCTGCGCTTTAAACAGAACCCTGAGACTATCAAAGAGCAGGTGCATTTATACGGAGACTTGATTACACACAGGTGCATTCTATTTATCATCATCAGTCATTTAGGACAACATTGGATCATTCAAAGATCCTCACTGAACTTCTGGAGTGAGTTTGCTGCACTGAAAGTAAAGGGGCCGAATAATATTGCACGCCCCACTTTTCAGTTTTTTATTTGTTAAAAAAGTTTAAATTATCCAATAAATTTTGTTCCATCAAAATGTTATATCTTTATGTTTGAAGCCTGAAATGTGGCGAAATGTGTTCAAGGGGGCCGAATACTTTCGCAAGGCACTGTACACCAGGAGATAAGCCAACTCTGCCTGGTGAGTGTCTGTCTTCAATCAAATGCAAAAGTATCTGGTCTTACACTGAACCTGTGTCTGTAGTTCTAAATCAGCTAAAGTGGTGTTGGTGTTATGTGTCAAATCTATATCTTTTACTAAACGCAGTCAGAGAGTGAATAATGGTTCGATAAAGACAGTTGTGTTTCTGCTGAACACTGGGTTGAAACTCGTTTTTTTTTCTTGGTTAGAGATGGAAAGCATTCATTTCGGAATCATAATTGATGTTCGCTGGCGTGAGATTGTTTTGGTATCGACTCGCCCGGTTAGAACCAGGGCCAAACCATTAATAAAAAGTACCGGGGAGAGGCTGAAGTGAGTGGTGGAAGCGCCCGCAAACAGGGGAGAGTCGAGTCCAGCCCTTTAGTACTGTACGAGTCAATTTCTGTCATTATCATGTTGATGACATTTACAATAAATCTGTCTGAGCAGAGCACACCTCTCTCTGCTCAGACAGATTGCATGTGCGCGTGTCTGCTCGTGTGCGTAAGTGCGTGCGTGTGTAAGGGTTGGGGTGATGTTCATGTAGTGCACATTTGTATGATGTGGCTCTTTGCTGTAACACAGTAAAAAAATTGGCTCTTAGTCTCTGACTGGTTGGCCACCCCGATGTAGGGTCTGGGACCGGGGAAAATATTTAAATTAATATTTGGATAGAAGCTGCCAATATTTGTGTGGATAGAGCTAAAAACAACTCCAGGTCTGTTTATTATTAAGGACAATGCATGTTTTGGATTCAGGGGTGACTGCAGCTTTACCTCTGATCAGGTCTGAGACCTGAGCCTGCACTGGTCCACGCTCAACGTTTTGCACCACCATGTTGGCAATTCTGGTCAGGTGACCCATGTTCCCTCTGCGGGTGCCGCCTTCACTCCTGTACAGGACATATAGAAACGTTTGTATCAGGGAAAAATAATTCACAAGTTTACTTATAATGTATGCATGCATGCACGCACGCACACACCCATTTTTAGGCCAGCAACTAGCTTTTCAATCGTGAGGTTTCGTTCCAGCATGTCCCTATCTGATCATGTGAAGTCCAGGTCCTTTGCTCCGCTTGCTTGGTCCAAACCAAAAGCGGACCAAACATTTTTCTTTTGGTCCAGTTTGTATTCAGACTGCACTTTTTGCAAGTGAACTTTATTTAATAAACATATTGACGCGTGACAATCGGCGCGAGAGCTCACGAAGAATAGATGCGGAAATGGAGGAAAATATTGAGCTCGTACCATGGATTTATGATAATAACGGCTCGTACAGCATGTCTGCTCTGTCTATGTTTGCTCTTTTTAGAGCAAAACCACCCTGAACATCAACAGTAAGTAAGTAAGTAAGTAAGTAAGTTTTTATTTATATACCGCCTTTTCACTGCAGATCTGAGTCTCAAAGCGGTTTACAATTGTTAATTATGGGCATTTGTCTCTCACTCCACACAGAGATGGGAGCGGGGTCGCCAGTACAGGAGGCACATGCCAGAACTATTGGACATATTTTTAGAGGTAGGGGAAACCGGAGTACCCGGAGGAAACCTACGCAGACACGGGGAGAACATGCAAACTCCACTCAGAAAGGCCCTGGTCCGGCCGGGATTCGAACCCAGGACCTTCTTGCTGAGAGGCGAGAGTGCTATCCACTCAGCCACCGTGCCGCCCCACAACAGCAGCTCATTAGACACAGGCGAAACGCGTTGTTTCAAATTTTGGAACAGCATTGGCGAATGCGTGAGGAGAAACCCAAAGGAGACTGTGCGCTACGTGCCCTGTCCATGGATCTATAATAATAACGGCCCTGTCCCACAACTTACTGACAGCAGCATTGTGGATAAACAGACGACGGAGGATCGGGCATGAACCAAAGAACACAATTCACTACAAAATACGGGATATTTTTTTTATTTTTATTATTTACTATTTTTAATTATTTATTGTATCTACCCATTTACTATTGTTATTATATTAGGCAGCTGCCATTTTTCTTTTTATTTTCACATTCTATTGTTCTACTTTCTATTGTATTATTGTATTGTTTTAGTGTCCCCAGTGTTTCCTCTGGAGGAGCCCTCTGCACTGAGAGCTGGGGTCTGCTGTGGCTTCGGGGGACTGGCTCTTGGATCCGGTGGGGGTCTGGGGCCTCCTCTCTCCTCTGGGTCCTATGGGGTCTGAGTCCTGGGCCTGGTGGGGTCTGGGGCCCCTCTCTCCTCTGGGTCCTGTGTCGTTGCCTGTGGCTGCAGCCGGCTCTCTGCTCCTGGTGCAGATGGCTCCTTGGATGACGCTTCTTCAGCCGGTTACATCTGCTCCCAGCCCCATTTCTTTTTATTGTTTTACCTATTTTACCTGATATGACTTTATACTTGTGTATATGTGTGTGTGTGTGTGTGTGTGTGTGTGTGTGTGTGTGTGTGTGTGTGTGTGTGTGTGTGTGTGTGTGTGTGTGTGTGTGTGTGTGTGTGTGTGTGTGTGTGGGTGTGTGTATTGTATATATAATTATAAACGTGATTTTGGGGGGTCTGTGGGGAGGAGGGTTTAGGGCTGGGCATGTTGGATTGTTTTTAACTAAACTGTAAAGCACTTTGTGTTACACTTTTTGTATGAAAAGCGCTTTATAAATAAAATTTGATTGATTGATTGATTGATATTGCTTTTTGAGACGTGAATCAAACACGTGAGGCTTTTAATAATGCAAATGATTTGAAGATGCTGCCATTAACATCACTGTATACTGTGAAAAGTTAACTCCAATATCCTGTTGCACAGTGTTGGAGCCATTTTTGCCTTGTTTTCTATTGCTGCCTCCTGCCACTGTGTGGCGCCACCTCTCAATGTTATGCCCTATATAAGTGGGGCACTAATTATGTACAGCTGGTGTAGTGTGGAGGCAAACATCTTTTTAACGTCGTCTCACCTCTGTTATAGTGTATTTGGATAGCAATAAACACTTGTGGAACACAGTATTTGGCCTATTTCATGATCAGAGACACGCGTCCGAGATGCTATAAAACACTACATCCAGCGGACCTTGCACAGGGCAAGTTTGGCCGCTACACAGTGTCTCCTCGTTGCTCCAGGTCTGCCCACGGCTCATTGTTGTTGTGTAGCATGCGTTAGCGGCTGCGACGCATGGCTAATTCTTCACAGTTCCTGTCTGCGGTGGCTTGTTAAGCCCAAAAAATGCGCACGTATCCTGGAGTTGTGCCGGATCGACACCGGTTGTATTCAGACCTGAATCGACTTGGACCAGAGTTCGTTTGGAAGCGGACCGAGACCACCTAAAAAAGTGGGTCTCGGTCCGGTCCTTTGGTCCGGACCAAGATTCATTTGTGTGCATTCACACCTGCATTAAAGGTTCGGATCAGAGTTCCAAACGAATCCTGGTCTGAATACACCCTAAGAGAGCAAGGAGCACATCTGTTCAAGTGACCCATAGCATCACAGAGCATGTATTTCTGCAGTTTTGTGTAGCCTAGTGCTAATGGAAAGACAGCAAGAACTACTGTGACAAAACGAAGTTTAGTAGTTTAGTATTAGAAAAACTTAAAGAACCCATATTACGCTTTTTGACTTTTCTCTGGTTTAAACATGATTACAGTGCTATTCGGCCTTCATACACAGGCCCAGAGTAATTTTTTCATTGATCCTGTCAAGCTTTAGTTAGAGAGCGATCTTTCTCTTTCATTCTCGAGAGGCACAGAAACGAGCTGATTCAAATCGTGACGTGGCACAATCTGTGACGTAAAAAGCGTCACTGAATGACAGCGGGGAGAAATTGAACCAGCGAATCAGAGCCGTCTATGTAGCCCATGCAGCCTCTCTCCGAGTCCAGCGTCTCCTCCATAGACAGTAAATAAGCGTCTGTGATTTTTACTGTTAGCCTCATGTCAACTTGGAGAAAATATGTTGTTGGTGTAAATATGTGACGAGAGTATTTGGCCGAAGACGGAGAATGGGGATAAACATCGTTCACAGGGATCCGCCTCACAGGCAGAGGAACACTGATCCAAGCGTTTCACATGAGCTGAGATCAGCTCTACATACAAAATGGCTATAATTTGACGTGTTTTGAGTGTTGTATGGTGTATCACCCATATTATTTTCACACGTGCATAGGACGGACTGTGAAAAATTAAGAAAAGCGAAATATGGCATAATATGGTTTAATCTGCATTCTAACTTTTAAGTTAAATTAAACCTCCAAACTACACCCTGCATCTCCTGAGCTGCGGATTGCATTTGTGCACTAGCCAAAACGGAGGAAAAAAAACATTCTAGTGTTTATTCCTTCAAAACCACAGAAGTTGGCTACATGCAGAATAATCCATTGTGAGGAGAACAAAGTGATCCATGATGATGATGCATCGGTTTTATATAGCGCTTTTTTGGACACTCAAAGACGGTTCACATTATTCATTCACTCCAAACACGGTGTTGATAAACTACTACTGTAGCCACAGCTGCCCTGGGGCATACTGACAGAAGCGAGGCAACCAGTACCTCCGACCACCACCAACCATTCACACACACACTAGACTCATTCTAGGCAATGGGGGTGAAGTGTCTTGCCAAGGACACAACGACAGCAGACAGAGGGAGTCAATGGTGAAAGTCTTGTGGTGGGCTCGAACCCACGACCTTCTGGCTCAAAGGTCAATGCTCTACCAACAGAGCTACTGTCGTCCATCTTCACATATACAAAGCTGACTTTCTACAATGTTGAGGGAATGACCCGGGTCATTTTTATTGTCTCCACTCCTCTCCATTATTTTTTTGCCGTCTCTTGTAAAGAATTTCGCGGGAGTTGTCTTACTCCTGCGAGAGTTCGAACGAGAGTTCCTACCGTCCCCGTGGCATCACTTCTTGAAATAAGCGCGCTCTATTGACCGGTGGGTGTGTTGTTGTGGGGAAAGTCGGAACAGAGCCAGTTGCAGGTATTTTCTCCACGATCTAACTTTGTTTCACAATATACAGTGGGTAACTGATATGCTTTTGCTACAGGCACCTCCTACACTTCATTTGACGTGGTTGTCACACTGTGTGCATGATCATACAGAGGAACTACAGAGGTTCAACATAGGGATCGTTCCCTATGTTGGGAAGTATACTAATCTGTTGAAGAGTTGAAGAGTGCTACACAGCTGTTACTGCAGACACATCTTGTGCTTGCTTTGTAAACGTCACACAGATTTTCTTGTATTTAGTAGAAAACCAGATTAAAGTAAGTAAGTAAGTAAGTAAGTTTTTATTTATATACCGCCTTTTCACTGCAGATCTGCGTCTCAAAGCGGTTTACAATTGTTAATTTTTGGGCATTTGTCTCTCACTCCACACAGAGATGGGAGCAGGGTCACCAGTACAGGAGGCACATGCCAGAACTATTGGACATATTTTTAGTGGTAGGGGAAACCGGAGTACCCGGAGGAAACCTACGCAGACACGGGGAGAACATGCAAACTCCACTCAGAAAGGCCCTGGTCCGACCGGGATTCGAACCCAGGACCTTCTTGCTGAGAGGCGAGAGTGCTATCCACTCAGCCACCGTGCCGCCCGTGTTAAAGAAGGCATTACTGATGTTTGATACAGGATGCCTAGTTTATACATAGTAAATCACTGTTGACTGTTTAAAAAGTAAATGTACAGGCTGAGGGAAGATTTTTGCAATGCCAGTGGCTTGATCAGAATCAAAACATGCTGTGGAAAAGTACTGGCTTGTGCATATTGTTAGAATGATGAGTTAGAACTTTAACCACAGTTGCTTCAAAGTGTCATGAAATCTCTCAAACGTATACAGGCAGTGACTCAGTAAATCTACTTACATTCACTGTTTTTATATATGTTTCTCCACACACCTAATGTCTGGGACACAGATAAAAGATAATATTCAAAATGAAATGACTACTGTCCCTTTAAAAGACTGCACAAGCCGTTTTAAAGCCTCTCGCCTCTGGTGTTCTGTGTGTAGTGGCACTCTGCATTGTGTTTTGTGTGCTATGGCCTTAAAAACTTAACGCTAAACCAAATGTCTTTAAAAAATGAACGAAAAAAAATTGAAATGATTGAAATGTGTCCTTTTATGTTGTCAAGCTAATTTACGGTTAAAAAAAAAAAGTTTTTGTTAGAATTATTGTTCAGCTCCAATCTCTATATTTGGTAGTTAGAGTAAAGTCAGAAGAAGTTGTGGTAGTTGACTAAACAAGCCTTCTTACTGTATTCTGTCGTTCTCCTCCCAGGCATCCAGGATTCTCTGAACCAAACGACAACTCTGGAAAAGCTGCAAAAAGAAATGCATAGAATAGTATAAAACATTTTGCAAGCTAAAGCAATAACTAAATTGTTTAAACATTAATTAGTCTTTGATGACTAGATCAGCACCAAATGCCCATTAAACTTACACATTAGATTACGTTAGATTGATTCTGGAAATGTTTTTCTGTCATAAAGTCTTACTCTTAGTTGGACAAAACCAACCGACAGGAGCCAAGAGGACAACTGCATACATCTGAAATCTTAAAGGTCACTTTCTCAAGAAAAGAATATCCTTTTTGTGGGGCTGTCAAAATTATCGCGTTAACTCACTTTAATTACATTTTTCATTAATGCGTTAACAAAAAATTAACGCGTTTGAAGCATGTCCCAATGACCCGCCCATGTATCCCATAATATCACTCACAATGACGCGGACACATGCGTGTGTGAGATGGCAACAGAGCAGGTAGGCCCCTCTGGGAATTCCAGTTTTAAAAGAATACGCGCGTGACCACGGGGCACTTGCTGTTTGCTGGATGAACTGAAGTCTGCATCCTCCATGGCGTTCTGACCCGGGGTACCTGCAGCCGCTCTGGTTGTTGTTAGCTGGCTGTGAGCCGCTAACAACTCGGCGAATGGTGCCGCGGTAACATGGTCATATCACGCACAGAACTCTTCTCTGCATGTTGTGTCCTTGCCTAATCTGTGCGTAACCTGTGCATGCAAATACACCCCTGAAGCTGAACTATGGAGCCTCAGGAAGTGTCCGTGTCTCCTCCTGAAACGCAACTAAACTTGCTATATTAAAGCAAGGGTACCTACATTTCCCCTTTCATTAACAGCTCATATTGGTTGTGCCCAAAAGCAAAAGGTTGTGAGCAAATCAAAAAGATTTAAGTACATTTGGTATGAATGACAATGTATCATTACATTTGATATTCTCATTAACTTCAATTGGAATGGATTTTAAATAGAATGTTAAAAATGCGATTAATCATGGGTTACTCACCATTACTATTCGATTAATCTACAAAAAAAAAATTGTTTGACAGCGCAACTTATTCTACAATCCAAAAACATAATTAGTAATAATTCACACCGCTTCCATGCAGCCACCTCTTGTTTTAGGTGCACATAAATCCCTCTCTAGTGACTTTGTGCTGGGTAATACGAAGAAAAAAAAGATCTGGATATAGCTTTTCTATATCCCGATATACAATATATATCTCAATATTTTTGGTGGGTTAAATAACCCTCCCAAAAGTACTGCAAAAACAAATATGCCAAATTCCAATATTTTTTTTCTTGAACCTCAAAGAGGTCTTTCCCGTTTACAAAAATAATTTATAATGAAATAAATGAAGAAATTATACATATTGCCTTCTCTCATTGAAAAATAAAACTAGTGATAGGAGCCTGTTACTTCGATTACTCCTCTGAACATAGTGTCATGCAGAGGGTGTCTGGAGAAATGTTTAATGTCATAAAGTCTTACTCTTAGTTGGACAAAACCAACCGACAGGAGCCAAGAGGACAACTGCATACATCTGAAATCTTAAAAGGTCACTTTCTCAAGAAAACAATATCTTTTTTTTGGGGCTGTCAAAATTATCGCGTTAACTCACTTTAATAAAATTTTTCATTAATGCGTTAACAAAAAATTAACGCGTTTAACGCATGTCCCAATGACCCGCCCATGTATCCCATAATTTATAATGAACTAAATGAAAAATTACTCCTCCGAGCATAGTGTCATGCAGAGGGTGTCTGGAGTTACTCAGGATGCCCTGCAATAAGCCGTGTTCAGACTGGATCATGCGTTGCGGCAACGCGCGTTCGATCGTGGAACTACGTGTGTCTCGGCACGCACACACAAATTGCGCGGTAGGTGCAAGGACTGCTTGGAAGAGGCGCAGGAGCGGAAAATCGACGCACGCAGGAGATAAACATGGCTGAACTTTTTCCTCGGGACGCTCGTACAACCAATCAGAGCCGCAAATTGGTCAAGGCGACATTAGCGGTCTAGCGAGCAGACTGAAAATACTCCAGCCAAAACAGGACTTACACCAGGACTAAAGTAAGTAAGTAAGTAATCTTTATTTATATACCGCCTTTTACAGACCAGAGTCACAAAGCGGTTTACAATCGTTATTTTTGGGCATTTGTCCTCACTCCTCACAGAGATGGGAGCAGGTTCGCCAGTACAGGTGGTGCATGCCAGTCCTATTGTGCATGTTTTGAGTGGTAGGGGAAACCGGAGTACCCGGAGGAAACCTACGCAGACACGGGGAGAACATGCAAACTCCAACCAGAAAGGCCCCGGTCCGACCGGGATTCGAACCCAGGCTATCCACTCAGCCACCGTGAGTGGATAGCACTCCTAGCGTGTTCGCAGATGCGGAGGTACCGTTTAATAATAAAATAAACATATGGCGCACCTCCGTGAACACATACTGCTGTTATATGAATATATAAAGTCTCTGGAAGGTCTCTGGACACAGAGACGCTGCAGAGCTGCATTCTTGCAGAAGAACTTCACACAAAAAGCCACTAGCTTCACTACGTTAGCAAAACCCGCACGCTACTTCCGCCACTTCCGGCGGGCGCCACCGCAGGCCAGGACTTCTGGTCTGAGCACCCATAGCATCTGAAATTTAGAGAATGTGCGTCGATGTAACCCTGGTGGAAAAACATGAATATTATTGATATATGCATACTTATATTGAAAACAATTATTTATGTGTGTATTATATCAATAATATCCCTGCTGCCCCGCTGTTTATTTTTTATTAAATCGCTGTATTTGCAATGCAATTGTCACGTGACCGCCGCAGCCAATGGTAGCGCGAGTAGAACAATTAGGTCCACCTGTGTGCAGCCCTCTCACTCAGACGTGTGTGGGGAGGCTGGATGACAGCTGTGGACAGGTTCGTATTGGAAAATATTTGCGGGTTATCATTGTGCCTTGCTATAAGTTAAGTGTTGAAATACCACTTTTAGAGCCGACTACTGGGCCGTGGGGAGTCTTGTGCCGCCATCGCGCTGGGCATACGCTGGGAATTGGTGAGTTGGATGTGTGTTGTTGTTGTGAAATGTGCTAAGCTAGCGGCATAACCAAGCCCCGGCGATCCAAGATGGCGCCCTATTCAAATGAATGGTTGTGCTCAGTGGCGCTTTGTGACAGCATGGGTGCTGAAAAGATTAGCGGAAGTTGCCCGAAACTTGCAAAGATCTATGGGAAACTCGCCTGTATTTGGGCATCGTCTGGTCCTCCCGGTTCTGCGCAGTGGATGATCTCCCATAATGCGTTGCGCCAAACACGCGTGTGTGGGTCTCACACCGGGTCTCACGCACGTGCACAGAGGGGCTCGGCTGCGCTATGACCAATCAGAGCAGTTCATCAGAGCGGGAGTTAGAGCGAGAGCCAGACGAGCAGAGTTTGTGGCACTAAAGTGTGGATTTAAACAAAAGCGAAGGATTTAAGAAGAAAAAAAGTTCAGGATGACACAAGGGACACTAAAATCCCCACAAAATCCGACCTTTATGAAAGCTGTAGGTTCTCTGTCAGCTGAGGTTGAGCTGTTTTAACATGCATTGAGTCCTATGGAGAAAATTTCTGGGTAGCCCACGTGAATTTAGTCTGGTTCAGTCTGCAGTACCTCGAGAATCCCCTGAGCACATGGGTTATTCAGCTACAAGCTAGTAATACCCTATCCAGTTATTATAATAGATCCATGGGCATAACCCATTGCGTTAGCATTAGCGAGTTAGCTCTGTGTATGTTGTCATGCTGGCAATGTATATTACATGTACCAATTTTATGATTTTATATGATGCGATTTAAAATGTAAAACAATAGTTAAGTGTACTTAGTTGTGATTTATAACTATAGTTAACTGTTGTTGATGCACTGTTGTATACTGTGTGCACATGAATTTAAACTTTAATATGAACTAATTAGTGAATAGTTTCATGGTACTTACTGGTCCTGTTTATTAATACAGGCCAAGTGGACTATACTGGGTGACGTGATGGCGAGCTGAGACGATCTTGGATTCTTTCTTCTTCTCTGAGCAACCCTGGTCTGGTAGGTCCCCCACCACTCTCACTACTGACACATACCCACATAACTGCATACTTTGTGGGGTGCCATTGACAACTGCGGGATTATATTTTTGGTTCTTATTCCATGTATAGGAGCCAAATATGTGTTTTTCTTTGCGTAATTGGTCTTTGTGTCCATGAGGGGGCGCATTCATCTTTTATATGAATCATGAGCTCAGGAGCGGAGTTTGTTTTTCACTGTTTCTCGTGTGATACCACTGTGGATCCTTTAATTAGCACTGTTAAATAAATGAAGATTATTGCATCGTACCCTTTGAAGACTTGGAGGATTATATTGAGCACAACAGAGCAACCACAGCATAGCTGCTTAGCGCGTCATCAACAAGCCTGGGTCTACAGCCTCACACTAGCAGCATTGGGCTGGCTAGTATACCATGGACTATGGTTGTTGAACCACAACGAACTTTATAACAACTTGGTGCACTCTAATCAAAATACTGCAGTAATCTTGTAAATGGTTTTTTATTTTTTTTCCCGGTTGTAAATATGTAAATTTCTTCTTTCACAATATATGGTACCATAACCACACCGTTACTGTTGGTTGTGTTTTACTTACTCACCCCAGCTCCAGTAGGCAAACCTAAGATCTTCTGTGTAAGCCCAACCCTTACTCTTTATGTCATACAAAGTAAAGTTATTACATAGGAATTAAGTCTATATTAGATCTACAGCGCGGAAGCCACGTTGCAGCGTCGGCGGTCTGAATGCCCTTTAGTGCGCGCGGAAGCTGCGTTCCAGCGTCGCCGGTCTGAACGGTCTGAACCAGGGGTGTCAAACTCATTTTGGTCCGGGGGCCACATACAACCTAATCTGATCTCAAGTGGGCCGGACCAGGAGATGCTCTACAAAAATATCCAAAAACAGTACAAAGTCCAACTTTTTGTGCACATAAACACATTT